ATCACCTCTAACTGCCGCACAAGCATGTGGTTGAGTTTTATCAAAGTCATTTTTTCTCTTAAGTTTAAAGCATTCACTGATCAGATGACCTTTTTTCTTACAATAACTACAAGTAGGAAGCGACCCTATTCCAGAAGATCCTTCAAAACGTCCTGGACCGGACTTAGAACCACCTTGGGATGGAGACTGGGAACTTGTGAAAGACTGAGACCCTGAACCACTCTTTTTATATGTGTCTGAATTGGTAAAATTACTGCTAGTCTGAGATTTTGATACAAAATTCTTTTCATGAGACAGAGCATAAGTATCAGATATGACTGCTGCCTCTTCAAGAGTTTTCACATTCTTATCTTCTAAATGTGTTTTCAAATCTTGAGGAACACATTCCTTAAACTCTTCTACCAGGATGACTTGGCGCAAATTAGCAAAAGTTTTATCAGGTTTCTTAGATCTAAACCAGTGATCGAATAAATCTTCTTTCTCTCGTGAAAATTCAACAAATGTTTGATTATCAAACTTCCTATACTTTCTGAATTTTTGTCTATATGCTTCAGGTACTAATTCATATGCTTTTAATATTGCTGCTTTGACCTTCTCATAGTCTGAACTCTCAGCTACCTCTAGTGCAGAGTATACCTCAGCTGCTTTGCCAACCAGTACACTTTGTAACATTGTTGACCAAACGTGTTGTGGCCATTTAAGATTTTCTGCGACTTTCTCGAATTGGGGAAAATATTTGTCTACAGATTTCTCTTGAAATTTTGGAACTAATCTGATATTTTTTGCTGCGTCAAATTCATTCTTGACAAATGACGGTTCTGGTTGGTTTTGTAATTTTAATTTCTCTAATTCAAAGTTCATTTCACACTCTCTTTCTCGCTCTTCTCTTTCTGCTGCTAATTTGTCTAATTCAAATTTTCGTTCACGCTCTCGTTCTTCTCTTTCTCTATCTCTTTCTCGCTCTTCTCTTTCAAATCGCATTTTCTCTAACTCTAACTGAAACTGATAGTCTGTCATTTTATAAGAGCCTAACTCTGATCTAACTGTATATTCTGGAAGTTCGTATTTTTTAAAGATGTTTTCTTCTACTAGTTTGTTTGCAACCTTAATTCTAATGTCTTGCTTTCTCTGAGAGGATCTAACATCTAACCCAAAATGCAAACCTAATGCGATCAAGTCATCCTTTTTAACGTATCAAAAACCTGAACACTTGGCGAACTAAGAAAGTTTGTGACCGAAAATACCATGTTGATTTTTGCTGGCTTATAGTCAAATTTAACGGTTCAATAAACAAAATTCTGACAATAAACTGCAAAAGTGCAAGAAATTCTTTATCCCGGACGAGCCCCCAATTCTGTTATGGGTCAGAATTACCCGAAATGCCAGCAAAGATCAATAACACAAATTAAACTTAACAATAATTTATTTACAGTAATATATAATAAGTATATGAAACATAAAGTACAAACTTAGCAAGAATCTAAGAATACATACATCAGAGTGTCCGTTGCTGCACACAATGTCCCAGTGAAATTATATCCCAGTAATACCTCAATGATGCTTATACGACAATATATCTATGCATCGAATTGACAGGGTATTTATACAGTATCATAAATCTAGAATATTCTAGAAATTGTAAATACATGATATTCCTGGAAAGTTCAAGAATGTTCTAGAAAAAATGACCAAACATATTGACCACTCTGGAATGTTCAAGAAACTTAATGTTACTAATAATATACATGATGAAACAATACACATATCACAACAGTAAGGGAATTGGTGATTGAAAAAAAGAAACCATCACGTTTACCTTACAGCTTTATTGTTAGAATACCATTGAATTCTCTTTCTAGTAAAAATTCAAAGATGAAACAGATGTGTGAGAATCTGTTATATCTTCTATTTCAAACTCGCTGGATATTTCGAGTTGATGTATGAATGAAAGTAACTACCGGGTACTGTTAATTGATAATACGTCGCCGATAAACATGTATTTAAATCTAGTGTCGAAAGCCAAAGCAAGTTTTTTACTCAAGCCCTAGAGGGGCTTGAGTTATCTAAAACGATGCTAGGTCATCGATTTACTCAGTTTTAAAACACAAAAATATATTATTTTGGTAGATAAAAATATTTCTAGAAACAAAAATGAAGCTTATCTTGAAAACTTCTGTATATTAATAGATATTAAGTGTTTAATGTCGGATTCTTTTCTATGGCGAATGAACAATGAGTGAAGCCCCTCAGCCGCAACAGTTTCTATACAGAGATTTCGCGCTTTCCTTTGCGTAGGAATCTCAGGTAACTTTCAGTCGCCGACAAAGCATCCTTGGACGAGTCCACTGGTAACTCAGAAAGGTGACGCAGGTTACCCCATCGTTAACAAATTCTACAATGCATGGGCAGAAAATGGATTGGCTGTGCCCCCCCCCCCCCGCAAAAAAAATGACATAGTAACTCGATCACTTGCCTGCAATTGATGTGTACTTTGAGTGACTGAGTGACAATAAGATAATGGCACAAAAAAATTAATGATAAATTCTTACTCATACGTACGTTTGTTTTTCTAAAAAATAAAATTATCGTCAGTTTGGTAATGGAACCTATATTATATATAATATAACTTCTTTTGGATTCGTACGGAATATGTATTGGACATGCCACACAGCTGGATGAATCCGTAGACATGTGGATTATTTGCAGCCCGCAGCCCCCCCCCCCCCCTCCCCCTTTGAAAATGTCATAGGCGTCGGAAGCAAACTGAAAGTGGGTGGGGGCCTAATTGAAAAAAAGGGGGGGTAAACCAACAAAAACACGTAAACCTTAATTTTAATTGCCTAACAGATGTTATGTATATCTTTGCTAAAAAAGCCCCCCACCCCCACCCCCGGTTCTGACGCCTAAAGTTGTGATGTACGTTATAAAGCAAATAATTTTTTAAAAATGTATATATAGTTTGAAGTATATTAAATGTCTACATAAACAAATATTTCATTAAATTAAGAAACGGAAACTACATGTATCCTCTATCCTCTTTAAAATATTCCTGAAAGTGTGAAACGTAAATTCATCTTAAAAAGTGATACGATTAATTATATTTATTCTAATTAAATTCAATATATGAATTTTGTTTCATGTACATGTATTTTATTCAACAGAAGATTGAACTCAATAGCCCTCATCTTATACCATTATAGGATATTAATGACACTTCCTAGTTGACTTTCTACAGCTTGAGTATCTCTGACGTTTTGTCAGTATATACTTGTTTTTCTTTCTCTCGTGTACAAAAGTTTGAATAAATTCCGCTTTATATGAATATATAAATAGGTCTGAAAATAATGGGGTTCAATTTGTACCATTAGGGATTTTGGCAGATTTTTTCATCGTTGCTCATCGTTGGTCACCAAACACTGATCGAGTTCATATACTATAATGTTTTTTTTTTAAATAATTTTGCAAAGGATCAATGACAGGTGTGTATTTACTGGTTCCATTTTTAGGTCATTTGAGTTTACTCAGTTTATTATGTTAAAATTCTTTATATTAAGGACAGATGATACAAACTTTTGTCAAAAATTTTGATAACAACAACAACTTGGGCCATGTTTTCATAAATAAAATGAATAAGTTTCACCGAGTAGTTTTTAATTTTTTAATCAAAGTTGCACAACAATGGAATGTGAAGTGAAAAATATCTGTATAGAATAATAAGGATGGTTTCAGTAGGGTAGAGTTATGAGCACCTTAGAAGATTTACAATTGCTTTATACTCTAGAAATTTATTTGCATCATTTGCAATGAAATTAGGGAAAAATATAATGCCAATCCAGGCATCCATTTTTTGTTTGTATCATCTGTCCTTCAATATAAATGCAAATACATAAGTATAAATAAAAGTGCCCTTTTTGTGCTACAGAATACACATTAATTTTGTAATGTGTTGCTAAATCGTGTTGATCCTACCACTCTTACTCCATAAATCTTATGTTGTTTTTTTTTCTTAAAGATGACAGTTTTATTTAATAATTATAAATTAGTCCTCTCATTCTTTGAGCAGTTTTAATAGTTTCTCTATATTTTGGAATCGCATCTATCGCTACTGTTCATTTGCCAGAATACGAGCTTAATCAATGACACTTCATGATCAGTTCCGTGTTTCAAACGTACTGTGTTATAACCCAAGATTTATGGAAAGAAATATATATATTTTTAAATTCCATATTTATAAGAAACATTCTACATATATCATGTATATATTGTAACGTGCAACGCGGCCGAGCTTAGTGTTTGGTGCTATGTCTTGTATCACCCGGCGTTACACTCAGGTTCGTTAACCTGTTAACTCAGATTTTTGTTGACCAATACGAATATAATCAAATATATACACAATTATAATACAAATACGATAAAGTAATACAATGGGGTTTCTTATTAATTGGACAAACACTAACTGTGGTCAACGGGTGTCTCCCGCAAGTAATTTTCTTCTTGCCCTGCCTCTATTACTGCATCTTGGCACTTCCCCCACCTCTGTGGTATGCCACCTCTCTCCCAAACCAAATATCTGCCTTGTTCTGGTCTTACGGGTTGGTTTGTCTACAACACTTAGCTGTCTTTCCCCCGCAACCGTCTGCCTTACTCAGGTCTTACGACCGTCTGTACGAGGAGTAAGATACCAAGGTTTATCAACTCCGTTACCAGAGAGGTATCCTGAGTTTTTCCTAATACATCATGTAGTAGCTCAGAGTAGCCCCGTAAATAGGCAGTTTCATACTACATGTATGATCTGAGAATTAATATTTTTTAGTGTTTAAGAATTTATATAAGAACGTAGGTAAAACGTTAAAACGAAACTAAATCACAAAACCAATTTCCGTTTCAATATATACTAGTACTTGAACTTTTTTTATGATAAAGTAGAAAAATGTACACTCTTTTTTAAAAATCAATAATGTTTCAAACTTCCTGGTTGAGAGGGGCCGATCATTACAATCCGTTTTAAAGATTTAATTGAATCCAAGGATTTATTTTTAAATTTTGTTTGGTTTACTTTAAATCCCTTATGTATTTATGCACACAAAACCATGTATGACTGTTATTTAAATAAGTTTCATCTTTATAACGACTCTCATTTTTTTAACAATGTAAGTTTTCATTCATTCGTTTGGTTTCTGTCAATTTGCACCCTGTTTATCTGGTCTACTGAATACTTTTGAATACGAACTGATCACCAGGACATTCAGCAATGGAATGTTAGTGGAAGGGAAGAATTCGACGGCTGTGATGCTTCAATATAAATAGGAGCACGATATCGCTGGAAAGCTAAGGTACGTATTGGGACGCTTGCATTGTATCCTTCGAGTAAACATTTTAATTTTTTTTGTATATAGGACCGAGAATTATAAGAAGAATTCCACGACATTTTAGTTGCTCAGAGTTGTTTTGGTTATTGAGAGGTGCTGATGAATTGTCCGAAAGGCAAGAATAGTATAATATTTTTTTTTTAACTTTTATCTCTCTAAATGAATTAACCCAATGAAAACTCTTTTCTTGAAGACACCTACTTTTATTCTTAGCATAAAAATTATCGATACCAGTTAGAAAAATAAATACCATATCGCCATATTATGTCATGTAAACCAAAAATACACCAGAAAGCCCAATCCCAAAATAAAATAAAATGAAGATGGGTGACAAATTATGTTTTTCACAAAAAAGACAATTTAAATCATTTACATACAATGTTAAAAATAAAACTTTAATGAGTGTTATTCTAATGCAGAGAAATTGTGCACATTGGATTTACCCATTTCCTGTATAAGAAAGCTTTATAAATCCTTTTTATAGCCGTTTCAGATGATTACAATTTTTAGGCTATTTTCATTAAAAATTTAACTAACTTATATTGAAATAATAACCCCTCTCTTTTCTCATTAAAAGTATTTTGATTATACTGGTTTAAAATCAATTTTCAATAGTAAACAGTAATTGTCTGTCTTATTAAAAGAAAAGTTCGATCGACTTTTAAACTAAGGCTTTCATTGATCAAAACTACTGGCGCATGGATCTGTAAAGTTAATTTCTTTTAAATTTGTTCAAGACATTTTTTCTCTATTTTCAGCCTTTGTGCAGCCTTAGAAAACTCCACAGAGAATCGAAGTAAAAGAACGTTTGAGTAGTAGGTATTCATGTAGATCTACTTGTTTACTTTTTAAACATATCTGTCTGTGTGTACACAAGGTCATTCTGTAAATGTTGTGTGATCTTTCTCTTATTCAAAAAATTGAAATAAACCTCTTATAGGAGCAATAATCAGAGTTTTTCTTATAAATCGTCTCCACTTGCCTCTATGGGCTGCTTAATTCTGACTTATTTTATCTTCGTTAAACTTTCTTTGAAATGATGCACAAAAGCAAAATTCAACAAACACGAAAAGTGAACGAATCTAGAAATATTAGCTGGAAATCTTCTAAAATATTGTAGCAACAAAATATTCTATTCCTTTAAAATTTGGTTTGAATCTTGTCAGCAAATACAATTTATCATTGAGTCAAATGGTGACTGACGTTTTTCATACCAATTTTTAGTCCATTATTTATACACTGAATTGAATTGACGACGGATTTTTTCCGTTATTTCCTGATCATGACAAGGAGCACAGGGCGGGTGTGACCGGGTCGGCGGGGGATGCTCACTCCTCCATGGCACCTGATCCCACCCTTGATGTTTCGGGGGTCCATGTTTGCTCTGCTCCTATTTTGTATTGTTTTTGGACTTTGAGATTGAATACTGTTCGTTATCTCCATATCCTTCTTTCAAAGATTTTCATTTTTCATTTTTATAACTGTATAAATTTAACTGGCATTTCTTTTTTCAGTCTTACAAATTAAAAAGTAACGATGCAGGGAAAACCTTTATGGTATGTAGTTCCTGAATAATTCTTGATAGAAGTAGTAACCATGTGATTTCATACATAATGTTATGTCAATAACTTAATATAGATGTATGTCTTAACTTGAAATCTATTGGTAAGTACCGGTAGTTTAAAAAAACAAAACCTTACTTTTTTGCTTGGTGATATCAAGTTCTAAATTTTGAATTAAATAAATTATTTTTTTTTCTAAAAATATTTTTATACATTGCGCTGATTTTTATATAATGTTACCTTTTTTTATATAATTTACTAAAAATATTTATAAAAATATTAACTGGACCTTAATTACCCTGACTTATTTCTCACCTTTGAAAGTCAAATCAAAAAGGAATTCAAAATAATAAATGTATATAGTATCTTATGAATACCTTCGATATAGCATTTTTTAAACAAACATGTACTTTGATGTACACTTTTAGAAAAGCTCTATATAGTATAATCAATATGTGTACATAACAGCTAAGTCACTTACACCTTTTTATTTTTGAAAAGAATATTCATTTTGGAAGTAAAGTGTGATGCATGTTCTAGTAATCGGCTATTGACTACATTAAATCTTGCCAAAATGTATTTTTTTATATTCAGGAGACTATTTCTGGAGGTGATAAAAAATTCATCACGATCCCATGGGAATAATATCTACCCCATATCAGCCAACCTTGTTGTCCTGGGAATTATATTTATCAGAGTGAGTTATTATGTTCTGTATAATATATAAATGACCTATCGGTTAGCAAATAATCGTACTTTTAGTACCAAGTTTCCTAATCGGTAACGTATAGGTAATTCCATTCAAATCTGGAAAGTTTTTAGTCCAGGATTTGCAAAATTTCTTTATATAAATCAGGATACATGCATGTCTACACCAATGCAAAATGTTTTGGGGACATTGAGAAAAATAATTTGAATAAAGGTGCAAATATTGAGCTTATATACATATATTTAATTTCCATTATGTGGTACGTATGTACCATTTTCCCTCAGGAACCCAATTTACCCGCTTGAAAAGCGAGAGGGTATATAGTAATCGGTATGTCCGTCCGTTCGTCTGTCTATTACGCTTTGGGGTTCCCATTCCTTATTCGCAACTCCTTTCATACCACTGAATGAAATTTGATGAAACTTTCACAGAATCTTCATTACATATTGCCATTGTTCACCTCCTACGAGGGTTGATCCAAAAGTTCGTGGAATTTCTTCAAATTTTATTTGTTTTTAATTGGAATTGGTTGAAAATTACAAATAAAAATATAGACACTTTATATTTTAAATTAAAAAATCATTTTAAATATCTCTGATAGTAACTTTATGGCAGTTGCCATAGAAACGGTTGTTTGGAAATGCGGGGAGACCGCCCTATGTGGTATATAAACCGAAATTATGTCATTATTACGATTGTGTGATCTTTAATAAACCTTTGTGTCAGAGTTTTACTAATTTTACTGGATATTAGTTTATAAGTTGATGATTTATTGTCCATCTTTAACTTGTTAGACAACGTCAAATTTCGGTCGTCACACGTTTTGTAAAAATCTCGGTATGAGTAAAAAATGAAGATAAGTTAGTATGAAAGGATACCCAGGCTTTTCTTGAAAAAAAAAATTGAGAAAATGGCAGCATTTTGTAGAATTACGTATTCAAATTGGACATTTGGTCGAGATGCTTCTATAAGCATATCTACGTGACATATCTAACTTGACGTTACGTATCCTCCCGGGTGTCCCAACTATCCATTTTCTGAAAGCTCGTGTTACCTTATTGGTAATTGGAAAGTGGTGAAATTTTCCAATATTGTTGCATTATGATTCTATATTATGAGTATGCCTGTTGATTGATTGATTTCATCAAATCTCGATAAAATTTTAGAAAGAAATTCCACGAACTTTTGGATCAACCCTCGTATTTTACTTTTTGATCTGACACATATTTTGGGACTCCCACAACAAAACATGGACACTTCCATTATATTGATATTGGAGGCGGGGGATCATTTAGTGAGCTCATTGCTCCCAGTACCTCTAGTTGAAATTTAGATCTAAGGGCAGATCACTCTACAGAAAAATTCTAAAGAATCAGAGCGTTTTAATGTGCATTGTGAAGAGGGTTTTAATTTAAAATTTGCGTTATATTATATAGTTGCGCTTTCTCATTAAGACATTGTCCATAAAAAAAAACTCAATACGATGTAGTTGCTAAATGAAAGATACTAAAAATAATAACATAAAAATAATGTATTTTACCTGCAAAGATATGCTTAAGTGTATTTATCGGTTGGTTTCTTTGCTGTTGATATTGTAGTGTATATCGGTTGATCACTTTGTTGTTATAGTGTTCATCGGTTGGTTGCTTTTTTGTTGTAGTGTATATTTGTTGTAACTTTGTTGTTGTAGTATACATCAGTTGATTATTTTGTTTTCGTAGTGTATATCGGTTGGTTACTTTGTTGTTGTGGTGTATATCGGTTGATTACTTTGTTGCTGTAGTGTAAGTTAATTACTTTGTTGTTGTAGTGTATATCGGTTGGTTACTTTGTTGTTGCTGTAGTGTATATCGGTTGGTTACTTTGTTGTTGTACTGTATATAAGTTGCTTACTGTGTTGTTGTAGTGTATATTGGTTAATTACGTTGTTGTTGTAGTGTATATCGGTTGATTAATTTGTTGCTGTAGTGTATATTGGTTAATTACGTTGTTGTTGTAGTGTATATAGGTTACTTACTTTGTTGTTGTAGTGTGAATTGGTTGTAACTGTGTTGCTATAGTGTACATCGGTTGATTACTTTGTTGTGGTAGTGTTTATCGGTTAGTTACTGTTGTTGTAATGTATATCGGTTAATTACTTTGTTGTTGTGGTGTATATTGGCTGAATACGTTGTAGTTGAGGTGTATATAGGTTGCTTATTTTGTTTTTGTAGTGTTTATAGGTTGCTTACTTTGTTGTTTTAGTGTGTATCGATTACTGTAAATCACTATTTATTCGCGAGAACTTTATTTTCGCGTAATTATGCGAGACAGTGTGCTCGCGAAAATTTAATACTCGCGTATTATAGCATTCCTTAAGATTATATAGAGCAATAACCACAATTCGTGAAAATTTTGTCTCGCTAATCAAGAGTCAATGACTATCTCGCGAAAATAAGGTGTCGCGAAAATTAAGTGATCTACAGTAATTACTTTGTTGTGGTAGTGTATATTGGTTGATTACTTTGTTGTTGTACTGTACATCGGTTGCTTACTTTGTTGTTATAGTGTACATCGGTTGGTTACTTAACTTTGTTTGTTGTTGTAGTGTAAATCGGTTAATTACTTGTTTCTTTATTGTTGTAGTGTTGGTTACTTAACTTACTTTGTTGTTGTAGTGTAAATCGGTTAATTACTTTGGTGTTGTAGTGTACATCGGTTGCTTACTTTGTAATGGGACTCGTCTGGAAGATCCACACCGGCCTGATTAAGGAGAGCTGGATTGAGGTCCTGAACAGACTTTGGATTGGGAACCTCCGATTGGGGACCACAGTGAACGCTCTGGTCCTAACAGGTGTCTGTCTCTTTCCTGTTTACGTCATCTGTGGAGGTATCGGATTAATGGGGATATTTTGCAGGAAGAGAGTCTTCATTGTTTTGGTAAGTCAAACTATCAAAAGCGCGTATAATACTTGTACATATGTATATATCTTGAGGTAAATACGACGATTAGCTACCTAGCTGAGGGCTGGGTGAATATTTTACTTCGAAAGTGACTAAATCATCGTAATGACTGAAAGAACATAACAATAATAGTTTTATGAAATGATTCATTGATTAAATGATGCATCGTAATTTTTTACATTTATTGAAGTCCTTGCCAAAAGCAATGGGAGACGTGAGGTTAAATACATACTAGTTTCACCAGTCGTATCAATTTGGAATTTTTAACTCTGTTTTATTTGCTAAAAATGTAAGGCTCTTTTATCAGATCAATTTTGGAAAGGGGCATTGTCAGGCCAGGAAAAAATTGTCAGCTGAAAAAGTCTAAAGAAACCACTGTGGAAAAAAAAAGAATTTTTTCAAGCGTGATGTTTTGAAATTTCTATGTATTTTTTTATGTATCTGATGTAATTTTCAGTACATGCTGTCATTAATGTTTTTCATCGTGGCTGATGTGGTTTTCATCTCACTGTTCGTTGTTCTTCGTGAAGGCGTGAGTATCATAATGAGACAGAATCAGAATTATATGTTTAAAATATTTCTAATTAAAAAGTTTAATGTTTTTCATCGTGGCTGATGTGGTTTTCATCTCACTGTTCGTTGTTCTTCGTGAAGGCGTGAGTATCATAAAGAGACAGAATCAGAATTATATGTTTAAAATATTTCTAATTAAAAAGTTGTTGGTATATGTGTAAAATTATTGAATTCTTTCCAGTTTGGAGGATCGCTCGCTACGGACTTTCAAGGCATATATGTACAGATGGCAGACCTGTATCAGAGTTGGCCTTATGTGACCGATGTGAAAGGCCTGAGAGAGGATTGGATTGATATGTTTTCCACTGTAGGTTTAATAACCATATTATCAATTTTTAAAAAGTTCGCATTTTTTCTGATCAGTTAAAATAGCAGCCAGGAGTTGAAAGACCATAAATCTCAAATAAGAACTTTAAAATTAAATTTCCTGGACAAATGTATTTTTAACTCTTAAAATGCAAACCGGTATTTAATTCTCATGTATTCGCCCTTCTTGGAATTTGCTTGTTTGGATTTAAATGATATGCAAGTTTCTCCTACGAATTAACACAAATTCGCAAGAAACAAAATATATATATATATATATATATGCATTATCATTTCTAACAGTACTTACTTGACAAAACTTCTTTTCAGTTGAGGTGTTGTGGTGTAACCAGTCAGTACAGCACACACAACTACAATTGTATTGGTTACAATCCCGTAAGTCTAGAGATAAAAAATATTTAATTAAAAGAGGTTATTATTAGCTGCAAACGTCTTAAAAATAATGTAAGCCATCATATCCTTTTGAAAAATAGTTACTTCGTAATTATCAATAAAGAAACCAACAGAAAATTACAATAAGTGTGGCATTTATTTTTTTTTCCATAATTTTTTTTTTCAAGTGGGAAAATTGTTGGGAAAAATTTACTACGGCTATGAGGCCTTTTTTGGTGACATATGCAAGCCTTGCTGGGATTTGTCTATGCACTGAGGTAGGTTTTATCTTTATATTGAATTCAGATAAATCTTTGCAGCTTAACAATTAAATAAATACTTGGAAGGACAAGATAAGCTTGGACCCCTTTTTAGTCCCTGGTATGGGGTGTCTTTTAAAATGATGCAACAATCTATCAATAAAAACCTGTTACCGGCCCTAACACAAAATTAATGAGAATTGGTTCTAATGTTTACGTTACACAGAGTTCACAGGAATGTTATTTTTTTTTACTTTCATGCAAATCATCATAGATTTTCAAGCACATTTTCTTTTAGAAAACATACAGCCCACGCTTGCCTATCTACCAAATTTATATATTTTATAAACTAGTATTGTGTATAAATGACTCAGACAAGCTTGTGGTCTATGTTTCCCGAGGTGAAAAATATCTCATGTTTAACGAAATCTCAATAGAATTGAGCAAATTCGGGAAACTTCCATACAAATGCACACTCTTGTGACCTCCATGGATCAAAATAATGCTGGTTTTAAAACAAGCATCATTTTAATTTTTTAACTTCAAACTTTCGTAATTTTAAATGTGTTCTGATTTTTACATCAAATAAGGGGCCATATTCGGGCGTTACCATACCTTGCCCTTTGCAGATGTAATTTAATCTTTTCATTGTCATACAAAACTATTATTTGAAAGGAAAAAGAAACAGAGGGTAAACTTTTGAGATGAAATAATTCCATTTTTCCTATCTAACATTTTAAATCATCTTTAAAGAAAATGTAAACAAAATCCCATTTGATTTTTGTCTTAGAGTTAATGCGTTATTGAAACTCATATCGGTATGACGATACCTTCCAAAATCGCAATTTTTTATTATCTTCAATGTCTCCATTGCGCATCTTTCACAGCCTTTATTCTTTGTATGGAGTTCATCAGAGTGTTTATCCTTCAAATAGCGATATTGTTCAAACCTTTCAACAAGGCAGGCCTTAGTTGAAAGTTATCAGCTATGTTATTCCTAACCCTTTCATCAACTTAGTCCCACAGATGTTCATTGAGGAAAAGAGTATACGGAGACCAGTCGAGGCGGTAAATGTAATTTGCGAGAACATTTTGACAAACCATTGGCTGCATAGAACCGGGGTAACCACGACGATAAATTAGGAAAACAACGCGCTTCTGTGCCAGTTCAAGGAACACCAAAGTTGGCAAGCTCAAAAACCCAAATCGCGCGGTCGGCTTCTTTTAATTTAAGGTGAATGTAATGATTACTTATCATGATTATCATAGCCAGCAGTATTATTATCATGATTATCATAGCCAGCTGTATTATTAGCAGTTTTTTTAGCAGTAAGGTAGCGATTAAACAGGTGGAGGGATTAATAACCCGATCTTAACGTGTTATATGTCTACGTTATCGTCACGGTTTGTTGGAAACCAATCAAGACCACTCTGATGAGGGGTATGACGTTTTATGAGGGAAAAAAATTACAAGGAACTGCACAGCAACCCGTTGTTGCCTTTGTCCTTACTAAGGCAATGCAGGCGCGGATCCAGGAATTGAAGTTACAGGGGGCGCCAAAAGTAGGCAAGGGGTCTGGGGGCCGCCTTGATGCCCCAGTGGTTCCAGGGCAAAGTCCTGGTGGGGGCCCAGGCGGCGAAGCCCCCGGAAGCTCCTGGTTTCTAGAGATTTTGTAGGGTAAAAATGAGTTCTACCAAGTACACATATTTACATTTTCTAGACGAAACTGTGATATACGTTAACTTTGACAATTTTAGGGGGGCGCCCCCTTAAATCCGCCACTGCAATGTAAAAACCAAAGGAGAGGACGTTCTTAGTTTTAAGAACTTATCCTTATCCTATCCTTTTGTTATAACATCTAAACAATAAAATATGTTCAAATCAAAAACCAGACCCCGTGGAAGTTCAATCAGCTGTACCAATATTGCAAGAAATTTATATCGTCTATAAATATTGATTGTATTTTGTTTAACGCCCCTCTCGAGAATTTTTCAGTCATATGGAGACGTCACTACTTGCCGAGTGAAAGCTGCAAATTATGTCCTATACTCGGCACTTTGGGCCATTGGGCAGGGAGGGATCTTTATTGTGCCAGCACCTACTGCCACACGGGACCTCGGTTTATACGATCTCATCGGAAGGACCGGTCTCCACGTCCCACAGTAGATTTCGAAATCGCGACGTAAGAATCAACTCCTTACTTCGCGACTCTAGAGCGGACGCTCTAACCACTGCGCCACACTGGCGGTTTTGTAAATATTGAAAAACAATATGTATACTTTAAGTGCATCAATTTGTACAACAAGATGTGTTGAAAAACTTGTAGTCATCAAGTCGCATGTGTTCTTGGGCTTTTTAGCACTTTCCCTACGTAACGTCTTACATTTAACGGTTGAGTACCGATTTTGGTTAATAACCAGTTTTTGTAATTTTCGGTCATGCGGTAAAAAAAATGCATATAATGCTACCCTGTGTTTCTTTTTCCTTTAAGTATATAAAAAATAGATACTATTTTTTACAAATGTAAAAATCAAATTATTTCAGATTGTACAACTAGGGTTATGTGACTGGATATACAGCCAAATGTCACATCAACGATACCCCTTTGCTTTGGCACGAACCTGCATCACGATGCTCCAAAAGGCATGGATAAAGTAAGACATGTTTGTGAATGATTCCTTTTTCCACGGTACAGAGAAATACTAAGTATTACGAGTTCCACATTTAGTAAAAGACAGAGAAAGCAGGAGACCTTATTAAGGTTTTCTTATATACATATATAACATCCATGTCAGTTTCACTTGAAACATTTAAAAACTGTACAGAAGAATCAATAAACTTCTGAAGTTTAAATAACCTCTGATACTTATAAGAACATTTGCATGACATACGGTATTGTCGTATCAATTTCCATGGATGTATTGTGGTACATGTAACTATATAAGACGTGCTTTTAATAAGAGTGTCAAGAAGAATAACATTTCGTACTTCTTTACTCATTCTAGGTCTCGACAAGGATTTATTGCCAACATTTGGAGACTTTTGTCATGTGTATGTATATAGTGTTTTGGAAATATCATTCTCAATCACACAGCACAAAAATATTATGTTAATGAACTAATCAAATTCAAAATTGTAACTCAAAGGTACCAGCAGTGTGTCTGATCGTGTTTGGCACAATGCTCCTTACTGATACTAAACTATATGGAGCCTTTGTTTCCGGGATCCTCGGGCATATCTACATACTGGGATTGAACTTCGGGACGATTATCGAAGGATTCGGTGTTTTGATGATTGTTTTAGGATCTGTTGAATTTATTGCGAATTCTGCAGCGTTCATATCCGACGTTATTCTCTACAACAAAACAAAAAGCAAAGTGGTAAGAGATGGCATGCTAAAACAAATATGCTTTCAATAATCTTTGATTCAGTTGATTCACAAATCAAATGATCAAAATTTGCATTTATAATTTGATTATAATATTTTTGGAGTGTATTTTAATTCCTAAGTTCCATTTTAATTTTACCAAATAAAAATGTGTGACATGAAAGCAAAGTCATATGAAAACAAGATAGGCCTAAAGTTTAAAATTGTTTTGTGTTAATTTAATTAAAAACAAAAACAATTATCCAAAAATACATCAAATTGTATGAAATGTACATGCAAAAGACACATGGTCAACATTCCATCATTTTTTAAATATGTATTTTACGAAAATTATGTAAGTCAAAGTTAATGCAATAATGACGGTTGTTTGTATGATGCGTAGCAACAAAATTTGGAAAATGCACTGCACACGTTATAAATATGGTTATCAAAGATACGTGCAATCAAGATTTTACATAGGAATAATACAATGTAAAGAGATTAAAATATATAGAATAAAAATTAAAATATATAGAAGATTAACCAACACGCCTTCCAACAATTTCTTTTTTAAATGCAAAGTAAACTGTAAAATTTCCCGCGAGAAATGGATAGATTTCAATGAATTTGTAATGTAGGACCTTCTAGGCAGTTAAGGAGGATCACAATGTTGAGAGAGAGAGAATAGAAAATTCTTTTGATGAATAAAGAAAGCTCGTAAATTAAATAATTTATTGTGGCAATAAACACTTTTGATTCTTTCTAAGATTGCAGTAATCAAAGTTTTGTTACTGATGGCAGAAATAATTTGGCTCGGGTTAATTATCAAACTTCAGCTTCAGGTAAGCTTTTCTAATTTCACAAGAAGTTTAAAAAAAAAACGTTAACATCAAACCATGTTTTGTTATTAAAAATTCAAAACAAATCTTGAGAAAAATAATGGATATTAATGGGAAACAATACATTTATAGATACAAGCAATGTGTCACGAACTACAACTTACTACCAACTTACTATCACTTCCAATTTCTCCCCTGCAGTCCTTGATATCACTTTACTATGGTTATAAAGTGGGGGGGGAGGCAACCATCCTATCGGTTAACATTTACTATAGTAAAGGTTATGTCGAGGAAAAAAGTGGGGGGCCAGGCCCCCCTGGCCCCCCGGTTGCTACGTCCCTGTAAACCGAGGTCCCGTGTCGCTGTAGGTGCTGGCACGAAAAAGATCCCTCCTTGCTCAATGGCCCTAAGTGCCGAACATAGGACAAAATTTTCAGCTTTCCGCCGGCAAATGATGGCGTCTTCATATGAGTAAAAAATAAATAAATAGACTTAATAAATCGATATTTGATTATCATCTTCAGTTTTCTGTCAAGTTTTAGAAATTGTTCTCTTACGGTTTATGAAAACTACAAGTACTTTTTATGGCTTTGAGGTAGTTTACGGCAAGATACATGTTCTTTTGACTTGGCGCCGCGTAATACAATGTACATGTATATAAATATACCGAGCACATATACTGTAAAGGGACAATTTCTGTAACTTGACAAAAACGGAAAATATCAAATTATTTATGGTATTGGTATGTAGACGAGGAATTCATGTTTATTGTCTTAGTTAAATTTTCAATAGGAGAGAGAGGGCAAAATCTCAGGTGCCTGTCATCTTGTCTAGCACAGTACTGTAACTAAAATAATTAAAATAAAAATTTTAAAACCTTTCCCTTCAAACAGTATTGGGGCTTTAAAACCTAAACTGAGAAACTAAAATACGACTTAAATTTTGAAATAAACCCAAGAAATGCGTCAGACATTTTATATTTAATTAAACTGTAGGCTAAACCAGCCACGTAGTATCGTTTTTGAAAGGGGGGACAGCCAGAGAAAAGTTTTAAAAGTTGACAAGCAACAAAAAAGAGGGGGGGGGGGAGAATTGCCCAAACTCGAAACCCTAGTAAGCGTAATGTTTGTGAAAAAATGGGGAAGCCCCCTCTGCACCCCCTCCCCTGTGGCTACGTGCCTGTAAACTGATCTATGTAAAAATATTGGTCATATTTATAGCTTTGCATGTTTATTGGGCTCAAAACCATTTCTCTTAGACTCTCAATTTAATATGAATACTAGTATTCTCCTCAATTTCAGGTTCGTAAACAATAAATAAATATACTCATATCTTGTCCCGAATTATTATTAAAGTTAAAAGCGCACATGACAGCATCTAGAGAACAATAATTTTCCAAACCGTCAATATAGTATGCACTTCTTATTTCACATTGTCTCTAATGACGTCATGCAACAAGGGAGATAAGCGATTTACAATAAATGATCCACTTGTCACTCAGGTAAGTTTAAACGACATTTAGTGATGGAAATTGGTGACAAAAAATTAAACAGACCTCAGAATGTTATTCATATTATTCCAGAGGCTGATAATAATGAATAATTATGAATTTTCACATAAATATTATATTTGACCTTTAAAAGGTACATATATGAATGCAAACTATATAGTCTTTCTAGATCATATACAAACTGATCATTGAACAAGTAATATAGTACAGTAACCTTTTTATATTTTGTTAATTTTGAATATGGACCCTATTTTAAACTTTAGTGTGACGTAAACCTTTCATTTGTATTGTCCAATATATAGCTTAATGTTGAGCCAACTCCCTAAACAATCTATTAAGTGACCTATAAGTGTCTATTCTTTTTGGAAAACTATCCATTCTTTTTAAGTCTTTCTCCCTAAAAGAATGGACACCTCAGACAAACAGAATGGAGAGTTACAGGTAAACCTTGGCATGTGCTCAAAAGGGAAACCATAAACAAATACATGATAAACATAATTGAATTTTGTAAATATACTGAGCACATTGCCTAGAAAAAAAGCACGAATCAGTTCAATATTGAAATATAGGGCTTGAATTTTACACTACCTGAGAATGCTTCCATATCAATAACAATGGCTTTACTGTTCTTGAACAGAAGATGTTTTCCTATATATTCCTTTCAAAAATTTCATCCCCATTTTGGCCCCTCCCTACCCCTTGAAATCATGGTTTGAACAAATGTGAATGTACACTACCTAATGATGCTTCCATATCAATACGTATATAACTAAACATGGTTTTTCTGTTCAAAAGAAGAGGATTTGTCCTATAAAAAAACTTTATCGTTTATTTTGCCCCCCCCCCCCCGCCCCAACAGGTCATGATTTGACTTAACTTGGTTTTAAACTACTTGAGGATGCTTCCATTTAAATATGACCAATCATATCTTTGCTGTTCTCCAGAAGAAGATTTTTAAAGATTTTTCCTATATAGGTATCAATGCAAAACTTTCTTTTGTGGCCCCGCCTATCCCCCACCCCCGAGTCAAGATTTGAATAAACTTGATTCTATACAACCTGTGGATGCTTCCCCCGGAGTTATATCTTTCTTGGCCCAGTGGTTCTTGTGAAGAAGATTTTTGATTAAGATTTTTCCTACCGTGTATAAAACGTTGATTCCCTGTTGTGGCCCCGCCCTACCCCCAGGTGTCATGATTTGAACAAACTTGATTCTCCACTACCTGAGGATACTTCCCTCCAAGTTAATCTTCCCTGGCCAAGTGGTTCTTAACAAGAACATTTTTAAGACTTTTCCTTTATATTCCTATGTAAAACTTTGATTCCCCTATTGTGACTCCAGCCTACCCCAGGGGTCATGATTTGAACAAACTTGATTCTACACAACCTGAGAATGTTTCCCCCTAAGTTATATCTTTTCTGGCTCTGTCGTTCTTGAGAAGAAGATTTTTAAAGACTTTCCTATATTTTCCTATGTAAAACTTTGGTTCTCCTTTAGTGGACCCACCCTACCCCCAGGGGTCATGGTTTAAACAAACTTGATTCTAAACTACCCGAGAATGCTTCCACCCAAGTTAATCTTTCCTGGCCCAGTGGTTATTGAGGAGAATATATTTTAAAGAAGTCAGTAATTTTTTCACTAATTCACAATTTTCTCCCCTTGGAGGAGGGTGTTGCCCTTTATTTTAACAAAATTGAATCTTCATTACCCAGTAATACTTTTTAGCAAGTTTGGTTGAAATTGGTCCAGTGGTTCTTGAGAAGAAGTCGAAAATGTGAAAAGTTTACAGACGGACAGACAGACAGCTAGACAGATGGACGCCGGACAAAATGTGATCAGATTAGGATGCAGAACTCTTAACTTAATGCAGAACACAATGTCTGCACAGCATCTGCTCAATTTTACACTTTTAAATCCACAAATAATGCACATGACGTGTATTTCAATGTCTTGATTTTGAAGAATCGCATACTTCTTTAAATACTAGTATCCACCAACTTTCACCCGTATCCGTCCATTTCTAAGACAAAGACCTTTTGTTATTTGCATATTGAAACACAATGGCTATTCAACAAAGTGCTATTAACTCCTGGCTTACCTTAGACTGTCCATTCTGTAAACAATGAACTTGACATTAGTGTATATGTGCTACATGTACTGTCATTTCTGACATTATTTTTGTACATTTAATTTTCAGAACAAAGGAAATCATTATTTAAGTAGGAGAAAGGCTTATAACTGTTTTTTTCTCTGATGTATTTCTCTCACAGAAAAGATAGTTTGAGACCTTTCTCCTTTACGGAAAAAGACAGACACCCTAATCTAACTTGACGTCTTTTATGTAACATCCAAAAACCTCCAGCATCTGTTAATAATATTTTAGGTCGTTGCTGTACACAGATGGTATGGCCTACATTCAAAACTTTAAATCGATTCTTAAGCTGACAAATATTTATTTCTTTTAATAGATCACTCTTTAGAATAGATATATTTTTCCTGTATTTTAGATCACAAGCGATCTCAGATTCAAAATGGCGAATTTATTAAGAAATTTCTCTTACCTTCGACTTCCTTGGTTGACTTTTTTTGGAGAAGTGAGTATACATTATGAATGAACGCTCTGCATATTTATTCAGCATACACATTGTATTGGTATTGTTGAAAAATATTGTTTTATTGGATTTTTTTCATCTTTGCAGTATATGACAAAATGGATACATACTACTTTTTATTAACATATTTCAAATTTCTCTTCATTTTATCAGCTGGAGTGTTGTGGTGTAACGGCACCCACTGATATATGTACATTATCAGGTTCGCATTGCTCTAACCTGCCTGAAACGTGCTGTCACCGCAATCTATACTATGTAACCGATCAAACTATTTATAACAGTTTAAGCTGCAGCACACCTAACACAGTGAGTTTATAATTTCATTGAATGTAGATTTATTTCCTTAAAAAGCTATACAATGAAAAAAGAATTATCAAAATTGTGTGTATTTTTTTTTAAAAACGTACACTTTTAACTAAAATATTGATCAAAATGGATGATTTCTTCTTTTTTCAAATTATTAAAAGCACAGGACAAGTTTATTTTATGATTCTCTTTCACTTTATATGTATAGCCCTGTTTAGAAACAGTGTCATCCAGATTTAAGTTTTACACCACCGGGTATTTTGTAGCGATATCTCTATCTCTCCTTTTTGGGGTAAGTGTTAATTGCTTAATAATCTATTTTCTTGGATTTGTAGAAATCTATTTTTTTTTTAAATGTAATACAATTATTCAATTTCGAATAAATTTTGTTTCTAAATACGAAAATGCCTATATTATGTCTACAATTTACATGTACTTTATTGTAAGAGGACAAAGCCGATTACATTTGATGTTAAATAACATATATTTTCGAATCTCGCTAACTTTTCCAGTGGAGATAAGTGGATTTCGCATTTGAATAACAAGTTTTATGTAAAATGATATTTGTAAAAATTGAAAAAATGTTTCAAATCCTTAGGAATACCAAATTTCATGATCAATGTCATTCTATTTTCTAAATCTAGTTTTTAGACTGACAACCCTTTTTTCCTCCATTCGGATTTTATGTCGTAAAATCTTATTCATATCGTTTCTTCATCCGACTAATGATTAAATCGTTATACTTTTAAGGTATTGGGAATACTATTTACATTCCTGCAAATAAGATCTCTCAAAGAGAGAGATGAGGCAAAAGAAGGAGAGATGAATATCGAAGATAATTCCGAGCACGAAAAGAAAACGTCATCACAAAATCAACGTAGACGACTGCTTTACTATTGTAAAAGGTGAGGCCTAACGGAGTTTGCATATGCATGAAAATTACCTTTTTTCACTTAAGAGTATTGGCTTATGGACTCTTGTTGTACAGTATGAAGGAAAATGCAATGGTTGCATGTATTAAGTCTATAAAATAAGTTACTAATTTTTTTTTATTTCTAATGTATTAAGTTTGTCTCATTTGACTTAAGTGTTCTTAAAAAGATATGCAAATTACAAAATACTACATGTATATGGAGATTAAGATCCAAGGGAAACGTTTCTACCTCTTTGTATACAAGGTTTTATTTTAGGGACATAAAAAGCAAAATGATAGTTATATCATCGGCAGTTTTATTGGTAAGTTTATGTACTGTTATTTCTGTGTTCTTTTGCGTCTTATTTTAATGAATTATAAATATTGTATTGTTAATTTTTTTCCAAAGGCAAATAATGGTCAGTGTTTGACTTCATGTATTTGCTTGAACGTCTACTCGATAGCCTAGTGGTGAAAAGCCTTAACAACAATTATTATTATCATGAATAATGTCATTTTTGTGGATATTATATATCAAATTTTCCTACATGTATGCACTTATTAGACTTACCAGGTATTAAATTGATAATAGCTTGGTAACAATCGATTAACTTTGCAATTTTTCTGAATTTTTCAGCATAATGAAGCTAAGGAATATAAATTAATTTACATTTCCAGATCCTTGCTGCCGGACTATTTATAGAAGGGCTAGTGTTAACGTACGATAAAGTGTTTAACCATGACATTATCCGGGATGTCCTATGGAGCGCCTTATCCTTTGATGGCTTGTCCTTCAATCACATACGGCAGTCGTTTTCGGCGTTTATGATTTCTTCAGCTCTTGTGATTCTGATTGTTTCCGTTATAGGGATGTTCACATTAAAAACAAAATCAAAATATCTTCATATTATTGTGAGTATTTTTAGTGCATTTATTGCACGATCGATTAAACTTTTCAATCTTCAACATTCTTTACTTAGGTAGCAATCGTTGAATCCCCACTTTTCAAAAGTTCTATGGTTGATACATTGACCTTAATTGTCAGCAAATATGATGAATGTTGATTGACGTTTAAATTATTATCACACGGAATCGTCAGGGTTTTGTGTTATCGATTATGATAAGAAACAAGGGGGGTGTGACCGGTCGACGGGGGTGCTTACTTCTCTAAGGTACTTGATCAAACCTCTCATATTTTTAGAGGTCTGTGTTTGCTCAGCTCCCATTTCGTATTGTTTTGTTGAAGTTCTGAGTTTGATTGCAGTTTATTAATTTATGATAAAAGAGCAAGAGCAACGTTGGGCCTTTTTTGGCCCTGAGAATTTCTGAAAAATCAAACTGCCCAAGTTAGGTTAAAAAAATAAATATATATCACTTGGACTGGTGATGACCATGCATATATTGAATATGACGTAATTTTTCCTTTAGTCAATACATTTTGACGTCATGAAATGTGTCATTTTTCTCAGATCCCATAAATTCCTTTGAAAATGGCCTTATGTTGAAGTATCTTTTAATATTTCATAAAGAGGACAACCTTTGATCCAAAATATGCAGTTACATAATGAAAGATTTGTTTCTGAAGATCTAATAATATGTTTCATCTTTCAATGGATCGTGGGCTGTGCTCATATTTTAATTCTTTGTTGAAAGCAGTCAAAAACGTAATTATGTTTTCTGCAAATTTCAAAAACATTTCAATTCCTCAAAGCCTGTTTTGACCATCTGGATCCTCAAAAAGATTTTTTTATTATAGAAAATGAAATCACTTAGTCTCTACTTTATTTTGATATATGAATTGGGAAAGAGGGTGATAGTCAAGTAATTGATATAAGAACATGGTCATTTAATGCATAAAGTGAACCTAGCTAAGTTTTGCCAATTTTCACAATTATGACTTATTATGTAAAAGTTTCAATTTCTGTAACAATTTATATATTATAGGCATGTATGCTTTCAAGAAAAATATGCCATCTGGTAAATGAAAATAATGTCTTTTTGTAATTTATAAAAATGAAAAATAATTTTTTGCAGCAAATAATTTTAATCAGCATCTGCTTTACTTTAATGGTTGTCGGTACTGGGCTTTGGGGAAAATCGAAAGATACAGTAAGTATATAATGAACACAAATATTTTCAGTGGTATTTTTAGAATAAAGTTTTGATGGATTTCACATTTTTGAACCCTAATGTATACTTATTAAAATATTGATTGTTATTGGTATTTTATCGGTAAAACATGTATAATACTTTGCTTGACATTAGAATACAGTGTAATTTTTTGCCAAAGATTTTTTTGTATATTCTACATTTGCTTATAAAGTATGACTTGGTTAAACAAAACAAAACTCAAATTAAAATTACGGTTCTAACATATTTTTAGCGAGGATTTAATTTTGGTATTACATGTATATGCGAGAGCGCTAGGATCGCTAAAATTGAATATTGCTAAAAATTATTGTGTTTTAATGAGCTTTTTCATATCGTTAAAATTACTTCTCGTTAACAATAAATTTCCTATTTATAAGGACAAACCGCTAAATTTGCGTCTCGCTAAAATTTCCACTTATATGGTATAATGTTAGCTTCTTTAGAATTTGATGTATTTTTCATTTTTGGACCCTCTATTACCCTTATTAAATTGAATTCTTGTTTTTACATTGTAATATCACTCACTTCCTAATATTTCATTTTTTATATACATAGACCTTATTAGACAGATATTTTTATCTCAAATACTTTTTGCTCATCCTAAGAGAGGTGTTTTTGTTTTGTTTTTTAAATGTCGAATTCTAATTATTTAGGAAAAAATGAAATTATAAATATTTTTCCTGAGAGAAACAAGTTCAATCATAAACTGATGAAATCAGGAATTAAGAAGTGTCTGTTCTGTTATTAAGAAATAACAAAAACACCTGGAGTGTGTATAAAAATATAAGTGGCATCTCTACTAAAACGTTTTTTTCTTTTAATAAATGTTTTACCCGACAAACGTGTACAAGTGAAAATTCAAATTTTATAAACTTAAATAATTAAACTAAATCAAAAATTTTAAATAAACTATTAGCTTTCGCAGAAACTATGTCAAATCGAAAAAAAATCTAAAAATATATATGAGACTTTCAAGATTTATGCAAGATAACAAACGGATGATTTAATGTAACTTAAACCCACCAAGAGTAAACTTGATTTTATTTCAGTTGACTTTGGTTTTCTAATTAAATTCGTAATTCAAAACAAAATTGGTTTTCCTTTGTTTAAGTTTAGGCTAATATTTATTCACAATTTTCGAGTGTCTGACATTTTGTCAATAAACTCTTGTTCATTGAAACATTTTACCGATAAAATACCTTAATCTGAAACGTGTAATATACTTCATAGCTAAATTATAAATTATTTACACAATTTTTACACTTTGTTATTCTTTTGAGCTAACCTGAGCTGAAAGCTCATGTGAGTTTTCTGATCACATTTGTCTGTAATCCGTCTATCTGTCTGTCCGTCGTCTGTCAGTCCGTCCGCCTGTTAACTTTTTACATTTTCGACTTCTTCTCAAAAACAACCAATCTTGCCAAAAATTATCCTTGGGTGAAGGTTATAGTATTCAAGTTTCCTCAAATGGAGGGCCGCGCCTACATTCGAGGAGAGGTAATTCAGAAATAGTGAAAATTTGATTTCATGTTTTAAAAATCTTCTCAAGAACCACTGGGCCAAAAAAGTAGAAACTTATATGATACCTTTTTACGTAGTGTAGATTCAAGTTTGTTCAAATCATGACCCGGGGGTAGACAGATATTGGGGATCAAATTTTTACAAAGAAATGTAAAGGATTTTTTAAAATCTTGTCAAGAACAGCAAGGCCATGTTTACTTCTATTGATATGAAACAATCTCAGATGATTTAAAATCAAGTCCCCCCATATAAACTTTTCAATACTGAACTGATTTGTGCTTTTTCCTAGCCAATGTGCTCAGGGGAGCGATGTGACCCTTGGGCCTCTTGTTACAGATAAGCTACGGATTGGCAAACGAGATGGAATTGTTTTTACAAAGATATGGATATCATGACCATATTTCCTACGTGTTTTCAAACTCAGCATATTCAGCTTGGAGTTATCTTTTTGTCGTGGTATGAGATATTTTAAATAACTTAATGAACAAGTACATTATTATTAGGTTGATTGAGTAACAATGAAGCCTTTTGTAATTGTTAATGAAATTATATTAGTTCAAGAGAATTATGCACTTTTTAAAGATGCTTAGAACTTATTATTTTCTCAAATTTTCTGTATAACTTCACGACTTATATATTACATTATTATGCTTCCTGTCATTTTGTCTCTATATGACCCATACCCTACTATTCTCGCATAGTGGTCTAAGGATGTATGTAGCGTAAGCATACTATGCCGAAATAGTTCACGGCCTTATTTACGCATTAAAATCTTCATTGCACACGTCGTGAATCGAACTCACGAGCATGAGGTTGCCAGTCCGATGCCTTATCGATTACGCCACAGAGACGATCACTGATTGGAAGTATTTTATTAATTATATAAACTTAATTTATACAATTGATACAAGAAGGAGAAAATAGATAAATAATATTTGAAAACAGTTATATTATTCTAAGGAACGTTAGATAAATGTGTACAACAAAGTATTAAACTAATTACATACATATTGTTCGATGAACTGAGTCATGGGGTCATCAAAACGCTTTTTAATATAACGCTTGATTGAAGGATGTAAAAGAAAATTATCAATGAGAATCGACGTCTGCAAACAAATCAGTCTTACTAACAAAACAGAAAATAAAGATGAGTTGCTTTGGGACAGAAAATTCTAACTAATATAAAAAAAATACTAGTAACCAATATAACTAAGCATGCAACCAATTTTAGCATGAAGATTTTGAATGAGTTTTTGCAAGTGCGCTGTGTTAGCACCGATATTTTCAGGAAAAAGTCAAATGGATTGCCACATAAATATTTACAACAGTCAGCATTATAATAACAATAGTGTTACATTATGCATGTACTATGCCTAAATAGTAGTCAGGGTTTGACACATAGTGCACTCGCCAGCGGCTCGTGCACCATGTGTCAAACCCTGCCTACTATTTAGACATAGTACATGCATAATGCAACACTATTATATAAATAGCATTTCACAAGAAAATGTGATAAAAATCTTATTTCATTTCGAAGTTACTGAAACTTCGAATTTCTGGACGGGTTTGATTGACATATCTACGTTGCCTGGTATAGGACATGGTATGAGAATTTTTTTTATTAATTCGTGGCCACGAAATAAAATTCGTGGGAACGAAATAAAATTCGTGGCCACGAAATAAAGTTGTGCAATATAAACCATTTTTAGCTTCTTCTCTCTTATGTATTGACATATAGAGTTTGTAATTTAGACGCCAATGTGTGCATATACGCGCGCGCGGAACTGCAAACAAAAGTTGAGAAGATATGTTATTTACATGTAGCTTAGCTTATGTCTAGTGCATTTTTCAATGTACTTCACACATTTATTGCTAGATGTTTCAAATAAATAGCGTGTTATTGTAAAGCTTTTCTTAGTCAATCACTCAATGTTTATTTGTAATAATCAGTGGCCCCTATTATCGGGAACGTGACATCTTATAAATATAAGCAATACTCAGATATTGTCCTGATTGTTAACGCATAAAACTCAACTGTTTAATGCAAATGAAAGTGTGTGCTCTTCAATATAGATGCATGTATTATATGGAAAAAAACTAGTGAGATCAGTATTGAAAATGTTTCTAGGTTTAATTAATGGTCACCACAATTATTCGTTCATCAGCTCTTCATGCAATTACATAAATGGCAAAAATCAAATTTCAATAATTAATGATAATTCAGGCATATTATTCAATACCCATAACAATTTTATATAAAAATCCATTTGACTTATTCCAATCGTTTGGCTTATTCCAATTGAACGATAATGACAAACAAATGAATAAGCTAAAAATGACATTATATAGCACAACTTTATTTCGTGGCCACGAATTTTTATTTCGTGGCCACGAATTTTATTTCCTTCCCATGAATTTTTATTTCGTTCCCACGGATTTTATTTCGTGGCCACGAATTTTTATTTCATGGCCACGAATTAATAAGAAAAATGCTCATACCATGTCGTATACCAGCTACCGTACATATCCTTGCACCGTACACATTTTAATTTTAATCTCGAGAATATATTAATCTCAAATCTGTGTCTCAGCACCTTTAAGGTTACTGGTCTTGCTTTAATTATGTGTCCCGTAAACATTACTTACCGATTTATGATATTAACTTTTTTATGCCTCCGGAGATTAGGAGACGTATAGTGTTGGACATTTCGTATGTCTGTTTAGCAGTTTTTTCGCAAAAAGTTCAATCTTGTCCACAACATTGATTTGAAGGCTTTCAAATTTCACAGGTTTATTGCTTATGACAAGGCTGTTCTTTTAATGCCATTTTTTTTTTACATTATGACCTTGACCTCCGGGTTTGACCTACTTTTGAAAAACTTACTTTGGCCATTAACTGCCGTATGGAAGCATCAGTAAATCACAAATGCGTCTTATTTTCAAAATGCTTAGCAATACCAGTTTTATTGGAGCAAACTTTAGTTTTGCATAACTCATCTAATTTAACTCAATTTTGTAGGCAAGTGAAAATGTCCTCGTTTATTAAGAAATGGGCGTCTCATTATATAACATTTGACATTCCAAAACCGAAAAGTTCAATTCAAACAAAAGTTTTACCACTTCAATATGCGTTACTTTGTTTCAAATTTTAGCTTTTCTCTAACTCTGATTCCATCCTCTTGATGATGTCATAATAAAATAAATGTAAAACATGTTTGGCGATGTTTAAAACATCAGCAGTCTCGTTTAAAGTTGTCATTTCTTAAGTTCTATGGTCGATACCATGTCCTTGTCAGCAAACTCAATCTATCAATAAGTCAAATGCTGATTGACGTTTGTCATATAATTGTTAGACCATTATTTACACACTGGATTCTTTTCGTTATTTCCCGATCATGACAAGGAGCACTCGGCGAATATGACCGGTCGGAGGGGGATGCCTACTCCTCCATGGGTTCTGTGATGTTTAAGAGGCCCTTGTTTGCTCTGCTCCAAAATTAGTATTGTTTAATGGACTTTTGAGCTTGATTACTGTTAGTCATCTCAGTATATTTCATACAAGAATACTGATTAATCAGTTTATACATTGTTAAAACTATTTTTAAATATTATCTTCTTAGGCAGAATGTTGCGATATCTTTGATTATGCAGGCAGCAAGATATCACAATATCTTTTTGCGGATAAAATACCGATCTACTGCTGTAAAGAAAACCCCTTCACAGAAACCTACATCCAGGCTAATAATAATTGTACGGACTTTCTACAGACGGATCTTCAACATAACAAAGTAATGTATTTGTTACCTGTATGTATGGAAATTTATACAAAGCACTAATTAGGATCATTGATTTAAAAAATCAGGCAAAACTGACCGTGAAAAAGACGGTCGTATTATTTGTCACACAATTTAATTAAAGTTAATTGGCCGAACATCAAATTTGTAACAAATGTTGCGAACTCTATGGTGTCTTTCTTTCACGTTCATATGGGTATATAGAGTCTACTATTAATTGGAATAGCTTCATATATTTACCTTTTTCTTGCAGTCATGTAAAGATGCATTGCTTACCAGACTTGATGTGTACAGCAATTTATTTTTCACATTCTCTGCCGTTACTTTTGCCATTTTAGTAAGTTATTTTCTTTCATATCTTTATTTATATAGAGAGAATAATTCATACCCTTTTCCATATCACATCCTGTATCAGCCCGAGACACCAATATCAGCCGAAGACCCGAGGGTTGATTTTGGTCGAGGGCTGATACAGAATGTGATGTGGGAAAGGGTATGTATTATTATGTTTATTACATACTTAATAATAAAATACAGCACACGTTAAGTTGAGAAGAAAATAAATAAATAATCATGCATGGACTTTTTACATACATGTATCTGGTCTATTGTCTCATACGGTTTGGGTTTGTTTCTACTTCTATTTCAATGCACTCGATCCGTAATTTGAATATAATCTATTATTTGTAAATTAGATTATCCCTATTTTCAAAAAGTTAAATTAAGAGAATATGAACCCAACAAAAAATTGTGTATGATCACAAGTACTGTTTTTGTGGTTTAATTACTAGGGGTGTGATATTGATCCGTATCATGCAGGGCTGATACGGCTATTGTGACGTCAGGCATATCGCATATGCAAAAATTCCTATATTTATTACTAAGTATGTAATAAATGAATTATCTAATGCATATTTGTTTAGTTAAACAACAATAAAATACTTACATTTTTGCTTTCAACTCCTCATTTACCATGCGATTCTTGTTTCATATTCCGTTGAAAAGTGAAATGTCCCAGTGATTCGCATGGCATAAAATAATCACTCAGAAAATATAGACTAACAGTCAAACATTAAAATGATAATCATACCTAATTTCTTGATTTATTGGTTTTCATTTGATCGTTGTTTAAACATTTTAATCTATTTTATAAATCATTTCAATATAAGTAATTAATTGCATTAAAATTGATTTTATTATTTTAGGTTTTAAGATTTGATTTTATGACATTGGCCTTTATTTTCATAAATGAAAAAAATGTAGAGAAAAAATATTTGCAAAGTGTTCAAATAATAAAACTAACAGAAAATACCGAAGAAGAGACAGAAACGTGAAACCGAACCATCTCTCTTAACATGTATATAATCAAATAGTTTACACAATTTTGATAAGTTAATATTATTTTCATTTATTTTATTCTTAATATTTTTACTTTAAAGCACATTGAAAATACTTTGGTATATTTAAATATATAACTCATGACTCATGACAAGTTTTTAAAAGATACATCAATATATTTAATTCAAATAAGAAAAGAAAATTATATCCCAAACTATTGCAGTTATACAGTGTAATTTATGAATGCTATTCTCTTTTGGAATGTTAAATCAACAACCAGAATTTACAGGCAGTTTTGTATTATCAGTTCAAACTACACAATATTTCTTGGATTGTTTAAGAGTCCAATTTAGCAAATATTTTCAAAGATTGATTTTTGTTTAATTCTATAAGATATAACTTTTGATTAGGTTTATTCTTCACTAACCTTAAATTGCTAAATGAAAGAGAAATATGTACACTGTCTTTTAACCAAGATTGAATTTTCATATTAAACTAAGGTCTACACAAATACATTTTAAATATTCTGGAAAAAATTACTCTTTAAATTCACAAGTATTTTTAATGAACATAAAAATGTTACGGTCAATTTAGAACTCTGAACTTTAAGTTGTTAACCCCAATATGAAATAATTCGAATTAATAACTAGAGGTACTCGTACTGTGGGCAATGAGCCCACTAAATGATACCACCCGCCTCCCAAATGTGTATATATGGCAGTGTCATGTTTTGCTATGAGAAATCCAAAATATGTGTCGGATAAAAAAGTAAAATAGGAGGTGCACAATGGCAATATGTAATAAGATTCTGTAAAAGTTTCATCAAATTCATTCAGTGGTATGAGAAGAGTTGCGGATAAGAGATGGGTACCCAAAAGCGTAACAGACAGACGGACGGACATCCCGATTACAGTATACCCTCCCGCTTTTCAAGCGGGGTGTATGAAAATACCTGTCAAGCCTCAAGGTTCCAATACACCATACACCCATTCACCAGTCTGATGTATATTGATTTATTATTATACGGGTGGCAATATACAGTGTATAGAAAATTCGCTATATGACAACTTTTAAAATTATAAATCTTGTTTGTTGTGAATTTTGTTTTTACATGATTACAACTTGACAAAACATTAAAATGAAAAAGAACTATTATTTATACCTCTACAAAATATTACAACTTTGGTTTACAACTTTGTTTTTTTTTTAACATTAAACCATTATGGGCCACTTCGAGAATGTTTTCATGGCATTAACTGAACTGTTAATATGTTAATCATATCGGTAATTTTTATTTATGCTATTCCTTGAAACATTTGTCTTTACACGCACTAGTATTTACAAATAGATTTTGAAAAAAAAATCGCACACAAAACAAACAACACATTTCACTTATCTTAATTTTTTAAAGATAGAAAATAAATAATGGCTGTGTATAATTTTAAATGATAATAAAATCAACTTCTTTTGAGTTGAATGACCTTGTTTTTGTTTTTTTTTTATCTTTCAGACTTTCCAGTTTAGTTTAACTATTTACAAGTTAAAGACAATGAGTTTTATTCCAATCATCGACGACAAATACTTGAAAATGACAAAGATGCTATGTAAAACAGGAAAAGGATATCGGTACGTCTTTTATCTTGTGTTTGTTTTTTATTGGACTGTATTCACAGATTCAACATTAATCTGTGCCTTTTTAAATTTGTTTAAAAAGTTTCAAATATTTATTTTAAACTGTAAATCATTACTTGCAGCAATATCTTTACTTTCGAGAAAAGAACGATATTCACTATTGCAGCGTTTGTGAGTATCTAAATTATATTAATAAAGAAAACTATCTGTATTTTATATGTTCTTCAGTATTTATTGAGTGAATTGCATAGAAAAAAAAACGATAACAAAACAAAGCAATTTTCTACAAAACCGTCTGTTTATTAAATTCAAATGAAATAATAATCATTTTTTCTTCAAAAATAACATTTTTCATATGTATGATAAGCATGTATTTGTGTAATATCAATCCAGTTTTTACTTTCTCTTTCAGCTGTCATCCTTAAGCATGTTAATACTTGGCATTGTCATGAAGCACGATGACAAAATGACGGGGGGATATGTGTACTATGTGTACAGATATCTTTACTTCAGAGGCGTTAATTTCTTGGACATTGTCAAGGATACGTATCTATCGTTAATCATCCTTGGAACCTTGTCGGCGACAACGGGCTTGCTGAAGCTTACAGACGTGTTTCGAGAATTACAATACAAAAGAAAAAATTACATGGTATACCAATTTTTGACATATAAAATACAAACTACACTGTATAAATTATTATTGTTTGAAGATCAGATTTTTGTTTCAATTTTTGTAGTATACCGGTGTTGTGATGATTTTAATTCTTACAAAACTGGTCTGCATTCCCTTGATGGCAGTAGTTCGTATAGATGTGAGTATTGAATCAGTTGTTTTATTGTTTGGCGCCAAATACTCATCTTTCCCTATCATACCCACATCCATACCCATATATATGAGTTCATTGTATTCCATCCTTATGGATGTGGAATTAGAAGTACATTTTAAATTCATATATCGAAATCTATGTTTCTCAAAAACAAAGTATGTACATGTATCTAAAGATGTGCACATGACAAAGTTTTTTGAAAAGATATGACAAACATATGACAAGTTAATACTTCTTACAACGGGATTCCATAAATTTTAAAAATTTACATTGTTTACAGACCAAAGGTCTTTTTCTGGATCATAATACTACACATGTCCGAAACAAAGACCAAATGTTCATTTAATTTTTTAAAATACAATAGTTTTTCTAAATACTGTGTAAATATTCCGTTAAGTCTCTGGTCTGATAATGCAGAATGTGTATATTTCAGCAAAATGCCTGCCTTGTCATTATATTTCATATCACATGGTAATTTGATTATTGTATGCAATGTGTTGAGATATTTCCTTTTATGATAATGAGGCTTGTTGATATAAGTGTTTCACTAAGTCACGTTTTATTCCAAGCTATATGCATTTTATTGCTAGATTGATGAAAATGCTTCCTATCAATTAACAAATATGGATCGACAGTACCGAAATACGCACTCTCTGTATGATAGTATGATGTACAGCATCCTGAACCGTTTCTACATAGCGGTAAGATTTATTATTGAAAATTGAAAAAAAAAAGTATTAAAATGAATTTGAAAATTAATCAAGTTGTATTTGCGAGGGGTTATCAAAAAGTTCGTGGACTGAGGCTATAAAATTAGTACTTTGTTGTCTGAGCTTACAAAATTTATAAGGAACAAAACAACAAAAAATGAAGAAATGTTGAAAATTTAAGCTTGATACGTTTATTACTTCCCAAATTATTATAAAATAAAAACATTATATGATCACACGGCGCCGTCGCCGCTTTGTTTCATGACGTCCGATAACGTCATTATTTTTCAATGACCGCTTCTTCTACCTCGTACACTTATTTTGATGAGATTCCCTAGAGCTGAGTATAAGGACTGGATTTATACATTGGAAGAGATCCTCGCTTGATTGTACCATCATATTATGTTTTTTGAGTTGAATATAGCTAAAACACATGATTTACGTCATTATTTGACGTGATAGATTTTTCAAACCTTGACTTCAAATTGACATTAATTTTGCATCCCTTTTCTCTCTGAATCTATATTGGCATTAAAAACAAGTAATCTGGATGCATATTATTTCTCCCTAGCCAGTTTTAACATTTCGTACGTGTATACCAGTTTTTCCAGGGGCAAAACTTTATAGAATGTTGGAAAAGGAAAACCCCTTCCCCCGTTTGACGTCATTTTCAATGCAATATTCATGCAATATTCATTTCGATACTCGATGTAAAATTTACAATGAGATTTCATTGAACTTCCAGAAATAGGTAAAATTTCCATATTCTATGTGTCCCAACACATACCTGTTCATATCAAAATAGTTTATCTTAGTTACACTTAGGTCGTAAAACATGTCGTTTTCGAGGTTGTGCCGCCTGGACATACCATTGCTCACAAAAACTGTACTAATTTATTTGAAAATAAATGTTATGATTTGTGGTTTATTATATAGATAGAAAAGATGATGATAAATAAAAGTTTTAAAATTCATTGATGTACATAAAGCGGTTTTTATTTTATGGCGCTAATCCACGAACTTCTTGATAGCCCCTCGTGCATGTAAGTAGACATCATTGATTAGTCTCGTTAGCCGCAATAATTTGGTTAGTTTTCAGTTTTAAACTGAATTTTACACGATTTTTTATTTTATTATATCAGTCTACGCTTGTAGCATTTTTGGTATAAAGAAATAAAAACGAATCTGTAGACCATATGTGGCTTGCAAATGGTTTTGCTACAAACATTAAAATACAATTATTCTTTTTGGCAATTAACTTACTAAATAGCGAAAAAGCCCTGTCGAAAGTTTATAGAATCTGGTGATAGGGTTTTTATCGAATATCACTTTGTCAATACACCCGCTGAGCCTAAGTTTCAGGGCTAAATTGCTGAAATATACTGAAAATGTAACACTTAGCAGACAAGCAAATTAGTTGTGATTGAAGGTTATACTAGTCTAGTCAAATTATCAAATTTTCCATCAAAATGGGAACTAATTGCAACAGTTTCAAAACTTAGTTTCAATGTTGCTCTTATTAAGAAGTGACTTTGAAAGTGTTCCAGATTGTTCACATTCTAAAGCATGCTCATGGGAATGCCTTTATCACCAGTCGCCACAAAATGGCGCTTCAATAAGTGCCGCATCAGGCATTTTACTGAACATTGCAAAAATGACCACATGATCTACAAGGAGAAAGTTTTTTAAAATGGGTTCAAAATATTTTGTTAAAAGTTACAAAAAGAATTTTGAAAAAGAGCATTTAAGCAATTAAAGCTGTCTAAACGATTCCATTTGAATGATTTCCATTACTATAAGCATACTGCAGCTCTTGTACATGCATGCATGTAGATGGTGCAGTCATTACAGAGAAAAAGCTCAATATCAATTGGCATTTTATATTTTAAGGTTTCGTTACTATTTACAAAAGCAATCAGCAGTAATCTGGAAAGCAAAAAATTGTTTGAATCACACTGCCCAAATTCAAGTTCCGGAGATGCCTGAATGGAATTAAATATTTGATTTTTTTTAACTCGGACACCTTCAAATCAAATCCTGTTCATGTGATTCCATAAATTATGTACTCTATATTTCAAAATAATAGATTTCTATGTATTTTCTAGATATCTAATCAAAATATATTCTGTGATGATGAAATTGTATATTCAGTGTACTTGTCTGATAAGCTTCCTAGGCTGTTTTTATTTATTTTGTATACAAACTGTGTTTCATACATTTTGTGTTTATATTTATTTATTGTGTATAAAACCTAAAACTACTGGGGTATAAAATAAAATGAAAATAAACACATTCACATTTAGAAATTTCACACACAATGTATATTGTGAATACAAACAGCCTTCCATACTTTTTTTGTTTACATGAATTTAGAGATTTTACACAAGAGTAGATCTACATGGTACACCCCACAATACTGAATAATTATTCTTTTTGAAAATAAATTTTAAAAATTGTACTTTATATTGTAATTGTTATTTACAAGTGTGCCTAAATACCCAAATTAATGCCAATAGGCCTGGTAATTGCAACCATTATATATGTGTAGATGATATTTGGTCTGTGTGGAAGTCAAACTTCACTTCTTTGAAAATCAAAATATAATATTTTTGATTTAATTTTGATTGCATAACAAACTACAGGTTAAGACAACAACTTTTAATGCTAATTGGCTTTTGTTTACAGGTTTTCTGTCATAGGAAGCTCATATAGAGAAAGTATGGTGTGCAAATGGGTCATTCTAAATACATTTTGATACCTAATTTTAATCTTTCGATTTCCCAACTTTCCCCTGAGTGAATTTTTCTAAACTTTTTATATGTGAGTTACCAATAGCTTATCTACAAATCTGCAGTAAAATATATACTGTTGCAATTAGCAGGGACCTATATACTAGTACATACTAGTTAGTATATAGGTCCCTGCAATTAGTTCTCATTTTTCAGTAGAATGACTAGACTATACAGAGTTTTCCTTCAATATCGACGACTTTTTTTGTTTAAACAAACGGGTTACTTCAGGGCGTTTTCTTTACATTTGATCGATCTGACTGAATGATGACGATTTATTTCAGTATCAAAGCGAACATTTTATAAAAAAAGATATTTATAATAAGAATCCTGTTTAAACCAATTTAAAAGTGAAAACTTATATATGAAATTTCAACAGTTTGATTGCTGTGGTGCTAGGGGACCATATGAACTGGCAAACATGGCATCTACCAGCGGTTATACAGGCTATACTGGAGCTCAGCCATTTGCCTGCTGCTACGGAGATGCCTATCTGGATTCTCCCACTATGCATTCTAGTGTCATATGTGAGAAAAAGGTAATTTGTAATTTTCACTACACATATTTCACTTATTTAAAGGTGGAATGCTCCGCTAAAATGTTGTATAATGTTTGTTGAAAACATCTCCTTTAAAACAGAGTTTCAGAATGGAAATATTGATATAAGCTACATATGTATAAATGATTTTTTTTTCGGGAGAGGGGAGGGGGGTTGAAGAAAATATAAAATGTGTGTCCCATTTATATGGAACGCCGGGACTGTCTTATATGAAGATTAAACATTATATGCAGTGCTTCCTTCATTATATGCGGTATTATTTTTATTATATGAAGTAGTTTTTACATTATATCGCGTACTTCTTTCGTTACATGCTGTACTTCTTTCATTATATGCTGTAGTTCTGTCATTATATTATGTATACTTATTATTATATGAAGTGCTCTTAACATTATATAAAGTGCTTTTAACATTATATGAAGTGCTTTTAACATTATATAATGTGCTTTTAACTTTATATTCGGTGAAAACAACAATATATTATGTGCTTCTCACATTATATACAGTATATTCATCATTATATACAGTAGTTCTTTTATCGTGATGATGATGAGCGTTAAATATTATGTCCGGTACTTTAAACATTATGTGCTGTAGATTTTGCATTTTGTTATGATGTAGACACAGTATTATATGCTGTGCTTTCTTCTTTATGATGATGATCTTTCGGAAACTTACTTTCGGAATCCCTCTTGGATGTGGACAAAAATGGCGGCAATCGCAAGTGATCCTGATGGGTTGTTAAAAGAAGCCCTGCAAAGGGCAAATCTCCATGCGCTTCTTAGCAGGTTTTTGAGCGAAAATATTGATTTTGATGTAGCGCAGAATCTATCCGATGGCCAGCTATCCAGTTTGGGGGTAGCGACCATCGGAGAGCGTCACAAACTTCGAGTTGCATTAAGAGAATGTGCTGCAAGAAAACACCAAGGTAGGTAGATGTCGATTAAATAATGACTTAAATTATTTAGCTGCACAAGCTCCATCTCATATTGAAGTTGATACATATAACACACTAACAGACTGTGTGTGGGCACAGTGAGATGAGTTGGGAGGGCACACGGCTGCCCGACGTCCGGGACAGACCGAATGTACATGTTTTGATAGGTGTCCGTCGCCCGTGACAGGGGGCAGATCTATTCTTTTTAGAGAAGTGGACAGGCTATCGGCTACATGGATGCAGGCGATAGCCTGTCCACTTCTCTAAAAATGAATAGGGGCAGATCCAGCGATTTTGAAAAGGGGGTTCCAGGGAGGTGCTCTCCCCTTCCACCCAAATGAAATATAAAATGCAAGTCTATCACACTGTCACAGAAATATTAATTATCTGATTATGCTCCCTTTCACAGATGCAGAGTGCGGATCACAGGCACTTCTAGGTTCACCCCCACCCCCTTATTATTTTTTCTTTTTAAACTTAGGGTCGAGACATATTTTTCTTATTTAAATATTCTTATTAGCACTGCCTAACAATTATAGAAAATGTAGACTTTTTATCCCAATAAGCTTTTTTTTACATTTTCACATAAATTGTTTTCAGCTGTGAAGGAGCTTTCTTTTTAAATATCAGACAGTGCATGTAAAAATAACAAAAATAGGAAAAATATGCGTAGACGTTAGATTTGAAAGAAAATTCAATGGGAAAAAATGAAATAGGCATGTCCAGACCCAAAGTGCCTGTGATGCGGATCAAAGGATATTTCCAGTATGTTTGGTCTAATTCTTACAAATATCGGACTCGGAAAGAAGATGGGCGTATTTGGCATGTAATCTGCAGGAATCATTTGTACGAATTTGAATGGCTGAACATAGCTAGTCAGATTTTACAAACACAACCATAGGATTTTTTAGCTCACCAGAGCCAAAAGCTCAAGTGAGCTTTTCTGATCACATTTTGTCCGGCGTCCGTCTAGCTGTATGTCTGTCTGTCTGTCCGTAAACTTTTCACATTTTCGACTTCTTCTCAAGAACCGCTTGGCCAATTTCAACCAAACTTGCCACAAAGCATCCTTGGGTGACAGAAATTCAAGTTTGTTTACATGAAGGGCCACGCCCTCATTCAAGGGGAGATAATTGAGAATTAGTGAAAATTTGGTGGTATGTTTTCAAAATCTTCTTCACAAGAACCACTGTGCCAGGAAAGATGAAACTTATTGGGAAACATCCTCAGGTAGTGTAGATTCAAGTTTATTCAAATCATGACCCCCGGGGGTAGGGCGGGGCCAAAATGGTTGATCAAAGTTTTACATAGAAATATAAAGGAAAATTCTTTAAAAATTTTGTTCTCAAGAATGACAAACCCATAATTCATCATATTTATATGGAAGCATGCTCAAGTAGTGTAGATTCAATTTTGTTCAAATCATGACCCCCGGAGGTATGGCGGGGTCAAAATGGCCGATCAAAGTTTTACAAAGGTATATATAGGGAAAATCTTAAAAAATCTTCTTCTCAAGAACCTTTGGGTCAGGAAAGATGAAATTCATCTGGAATCATCCTCAGGTAGTGTAGATTCAAGTTTGTTCAAATCATGACCCCCGGGGCTAGGGCGGGGCCAAAATGGCCGACCCAAGTTTTACATGGGGATATATTGGGAAACCAATATATTTAAAATCTTCTTTTCAAGTACTTCAAAGCCATGATTAGTAATATTTATATGGAATCATCCTCAGGTAGTGTAGATTCTAGCTCGTTCAAATCATGATCCCCTGGGGGGTTAAAATTCAACCCTCCTCCCCTCCCAACCTCAGTAAACTTTCAGTTCTGATCTGATATGTGCTTTTTCCTAGCCGATGTGCTCAGATGAGCGCTGTGGCCCCTGGGCCTCTTGTTAGACTTATTGCTATCTGTTTTCGTCCGTCGTCGTACGTCGTTTGTAAACTTTTGAACATTTTTAGCTTCTTCTCTGGAACCACTGAGCCAATTTCAACCAAATTTGGTATACAGCATCTATGGGTGAAGGGGAACAAAAATTGTGAATTTGATGGTCCCTGCCCCCCTGGGGCCTGAGGGATGGGGCCAAAACTACTAAAATTAGTGAAATCTTTAAAAATCTTCTTCTTTGCTTCTGGACATCAAGCAATCAAACTGTTGGCATGATTGTAATCAGCATTAAAGCCATATATGGCGTAACTGATCAAAAAAATATATTTTTGAAAAATATAAAATTAAGTAAAGAAATATAGTTAATACATTTGAATTAAAACTTTTCATACAATTCTGAACACGGAGAACACCTCGTTTCAACTTATAATACGATTTTATCTTCTCTGTAATGTGTTATTTAGAATCTTTTGTATTTTCTTCGAGTCGGAGAAAATTCTGAGAATCCAAGTTAAATTGTGATATCTTTATAATTATAATGCAATTGACTTAGATTTTGTAATTTAGGGAAAAGTTCTATCTTTATATAAAGTAATGATACAAATAATAAGTTCTTATAATTTTAGTCTTAATAATTTTCATTGTACATATGCCATATATGGCTTTAAGTCCTCTACCAAAATTGTGAAATTCATGGCCCCTGGGTCAGGGGTTCTGGTGTTAAGGCGGGGCTCTATTGATTATATAGTGAAAATACATTAATTCTTTAAAAATCTTCTTCTTTACTCCTGGGTATTCAACAAACTAACTTGGAATATAGTTATGATGAGCAAGAGTTTTTTTTTTTTTTACCCCTGGGTTGGGGGTTGTGGTGTTAGGATGGGGCTCTTTGATCATATAGTGAAAATGCATGAATTCCTTCAAAAATCATTCTCCTCTGCTGCCAGGTATTAAATAAATTAATCTACTAAGTAGCTATTATTTACAAGAGTGCCTTAACCATGTTTATGAATTGGATGGTCCCTGGGTCAGGGGCTTTATTGGAAGTGGTGAGTGGGTTGATTATATAGTGAAAATACATTATTTCTTTAAAAATCTTCTTCTTTGCTCCTGGGTATTAAATAAACTTACTAAGTATATAGGTATGATGAGCAAGAGCTTCCAAATTTGTGAATTTTATGGCCCCTGGGTTAGGGTTTCGGGTGTTGGGGGGGCTCTATTGATTATATAGTGAAAATACATGAATTCTTTGAATATCTTCTTCACTGCTCCTGGGTATTAAACCAATGAACTATGAACATAATTATGATTAGGAAGGATACCTCTTCCAAAATTGTCAGATTCATGGCCCCTTGGTCAGGTGTTCTGGTGTTAGGACAGGGCTCTAAATGTCTCTAAGGATTATATAGTGAAAATGCATGAATTCTTTGAAAATATTTTCTTTGCTCCTGGGTATTATGCCAGTGATCTAAGTATATATATTTTTGATGAAGAAAGGTGTATCTAGCAAAATGGTTATTTTCATGCCCCCTGGGTCAGGGGTGGGTGGTTACATAGTCTGAAAAAAATTAATGCTTTGAAATCTGCTCTTTGGTATTAATAAATCATTCATGATGAAATAAAATTTATGATAAAATTTCCAAAATTTTGAAATATGTGGTTCCCGTGGGGTCGGGTGCACAATGGTTACAAAGTGGAAATGCATTTTCTCTGTTACTCTGATCTTACTACCTCTGGGTATAAAGTAACTAGAGTACGCATGCTAAGTGTATTATTATGATAAGCAACGGTTCCTCTTTCAAAATTGTGAATTTCATGGCCTCTGGTCTTAAAACACAAACCAAATTCCATTGTTTGAAAGTTGTTACATGATACTCAGGTGACCTGTAAGGCCCGTGGGCCTCTTGTTCTTTGTCAAATCCTTTAAAGCTTGGAAACTGAGATGCCTAGCATCATCAAACCCTGTCAGTTGTTACAGGTATTTCTTTTTGGCCTCAGGATAATATTTTTCCCAAACACATTTATGTTTAAGTGAAACTTGTGCGATTTATCAATAGGGGGATTAAAAGCCCTCTAGCCTCTTGTTGCTCATCTGTCTGCCCACCCAATTCCATGTCTAAACAATTTCTTTGTTATTAAAATCAGATAAAAAATATTTATAATTTGTACGACCCAAAGGTTGCTTATGATACTTATATGTCAAAATACATGTTATGATCTGAACCCATGTGCTTTCAAGAAAGTTCAGATTACAAGTCTGGGGGTACATGTATTAAAATTAGAGTCTGGTCCAACATTCTTAAAGAGGCTGGGGGCCGGCAGCCATTTTCTGACTTCTTCGTTCTCCTTTCAATGAAGAGCTCCAGGTAAAGATATGCAAAAAATGATTCTAATAGGCTATCTAAATTTAATTCTCTGGTTCTCAGGCCAATTTTCTCCAAAACAGATGTGGGAGGGCGGCATTTTATTTATCATTTTATTGGCAATAAAGTAGATGAGAGAGGTATTTTTTTTTTATTTTAATTTTCTAATTTTCTTCAACATAAAGGTAACTTTTTAAATCAGATATACTTTCCATTGATGGTCAAAATTTCTGCTTTATCCATTGCTTAACAGCGTGTAAACATCGTAGGTAATGTTCCTGAATGTATTTTCAAACGAAGTAGCCAAAATCTCATTGCAAATGCCTACCGGAAGTGATATTTGAATACTAAACTACGAAACAAATGAGGTCGGAATTTTTTTTTCCGGATTGGTCTCCGCAATACCAACTTTTTATTTTATCAAAAATACAATAAAATTAGCAATGCGGCTACCTCAAAACTGATGCGCGCGTTGGCCAGAGAACCAGGATTTCAATTTTATATGGCCTTAAATTTTAAAACTAAAATGTTTGAATTTTTGCTTTGCCAAATAATAGTTGACAGCTTAAGATACCGTATCCAAAAAAATGTTAAATCTGGTGGTTAATTTGTTGACCCACCAGCCTCCTTAAATGCTAGCTGCAGATCTGTAGCTCGCCAAAAATATCTACTGACAGACCGGAGAGCTACAGTGCCACCCATTGAAAAAACTGTATATTAATTGAGAAAATATTCTCAAGACCCACTGTGCCTGAAAAGTTGAAACTTTTGTGGAAGCATCAAGAGTGTAGATTGTCTAAATTATGACCCATGGGGTAGGGTGAGGTCAGATTAGGTGTTACAAGGGGGAAATCTTGTAAAGAACAGCATGGTCAAAGCTTCTCAAGTGAGCGATGTTGCCCATTATGCAGCATCTTGTTTGTATGTTATTATTTAGTATGGAATAGATTTAATGTTAACAATTACTCAGTCTGCAACAATGGAAATTAAAAACAGTGAATTTGTATTATTTTCAGGAGGAAGAAGGGGGGATGTTTCATTGTGCAGCGTACTGAAATTCGCCACAGGCTCAGAAGAAGAACCCATTCTTGGATTTCATATTCACCCATCGATATCATTTGTGAAAAATGCCTCTTTACTACCAACTTCGAATACATGTATTAATAAACTTAATTTACCCATCCCAGAGAGCATGGAAGTGCCTTCCAACGACTTCCTATTCAATCTATATGATTATGCATTTTGCAATGCGTACTTCGGACTCCAGTAAAGAATGCTTGTCAATGAGTGGTTTTAAAGAATAACCAGAACATTCAGGTTTTTAGCTTACCTCAACAAAGTTGGCGAAGCTTATGTTATACTGTCGGTGTCCCAGGTTAAGGTTATTAATAAGTTTTTTGGCACAGTTTTCTTTTTAAGTACTTCTATGTCATATATTGATTTAGACATGCGTGGAAGATGGTTCTAGTGTGTTTCATTGTACGAGTCAAAGGTTCAGATGCTGCAATTTCAGCAAAGGAATGACCAGGTTAATGTTTTTGGGGCAGTTTAACATTTTTGGTGCAGTTTTTGGTGCATGACCAAACTTGCATGGATGGTTCAACTAAGGATGCACACTACCAGGCTTGCTTCAGATGAAATCTGATCTACATTTTCCGCATGAGTGAACAGGTTTATGTTATCGGTGCAGTCTCATTTACAAGTAACTTTGAGCACTATAGTGACCAAACTTGCATGGATGATGCATCTACGTATGAACACTACCAGTCTTGCTTCAGATGCTGGATCTGACTATATTTTCATTTCCAAGTAACTATAAGCCCTACCTGAACCAAACTTACATGGAAGATGCAGCTATGGACACTACCAGACTTGCTTCGGATGCTGGATCTGACTTATATTTTCATTCCCTAGTAAATATAAGCCCTACCTGAACCAAACTTGCATAGATGATGCAGCTAGGAAAAGACACTACCAGACTTGCTTCGGATGCTGGATCTGACCTATATTTTCCAAACATTAGAGACCAGGTTAAAGTTTTGGGAATAGATTAATCCCAATGAACTTGAAGTCCTTGTTATCTGCAGTATTAACAAATTTGTGAATATCTGTTTACACTTTAAATGTTTTTCACGCTACACACCTAGAAATGTGTATATGCCCTGTAAGGGGTTAAAACACAATTTGCAAGAATATTGTTGTTGGGATAAATACTAGATATTATGAAAAAAAATATTATGTGAGATTTGCATTACTTACACTGATAACATTTGTCGAGGTGAGCTTTGTAATCTTGATTACCTATGTTTCCTATCTAGTATGTGTATACTAATCCATAGGCAACTAATTTCAGTCTTAGTGAGATTTTGTAAACTGTTAGTTATAGGCATTTTACCCATTATGTTCACCCATCTTCTTTGCATCATATAGAAATTCTCAAAACTTAATTCTTGACAAAAGTAGCTCATGATCCTTTTATTTGTCTTGGATTTATTGCAGGGTTATTTAGACTAAGTAAAAGTCTTAAGGGTTCATATTTCACAGGTTGCTGGTGACTAGAGAGGGTGTCATTGTCATAATTCAGTTGCATATACAGTACATGTACATATATTTGGGATGAGGGTCATAGGAATTGCATTTTAAATTTGTTTTAATTTTACTGAGTACTTATAATATGCATTTCTTTATAGTAACAATCAACTTTGGCGACTTTGTAAATACATCTACAAGGTCACAATTTTTATGCACTCTGATTGATAGATCTTGGACGTATATTGTTTTTGTCCTGTCTGTCTGTCTTTTGTCAACTTTAACCTTCGCCATAATTTTTGAACCGTGAAAAGCAGGGACTTTATATTTGGTGTGCATACTCCACTAATAAAGTTCTTTCAAATTAAACTAAGGTCAATGATTTTGTGACCTTGACTGACCTATTTGCTAAAAATAGCTTTTAAGAACTTTAAGAACTTTCACCATTACTTTTGAATCATAGTAGATAGAGACTTTATGTTTGGTATGCATACGCCATGAATTAAGTGCTTTCAAATGACACCAAGGACAATGATCATGTGACCTTGACTGTGTAAAAACAAGTTTTTATGTGCCCGGATCGATAGATCCCAGGCGTATATTGTTTTTGTCCTGTCTGTGTGTCTGTTTATCTGTTTGTCTATCCGTCTTTTGTCAACTTTAACCTTCGCCAAAACTTTTGAACCACAAGAGATAGAGACTTCATATTTGGAATGCATACTCCACAAAAAAAAGTTCTTTCAAATGACATCAAGATCAATGACCTTGTGACCTTGACTGTGACCTATATGCCAAAAATAGCTCTTTCCTCTTTTTGCCATAACTTTTGAACCATAGGAGATAGTGACTTCATATTTAGTATGCATACTTCACTAATTAAGATCTTTCAAACAACACCAAGGCCAATGACCTTGTGACCATGATTGTGACCTATATGCTAATAATAGCTTTTTCCACTTTTTGCCATAACTTTTGAACCATAGGAGATAAGGACTTCATATTAAGTATGCATACTCCACTAATTAAGTTCTTTCAAACAAAACCAAGGCCAATGACCTTGTGATCTTGACTGTGACCTATATACTAAAAATAGCTTTTTTGAACTTTGTTGACGCCAGGCGCATAGTGTTTCATAAACACATCTTGTTCAAACTGTTGCCACAAGGCTCATAGTGTTTCACAAACACATTTATTTTTTACATTTGTAAATAAAACAAATAATTGATTTTGATTTAATTGCTTTATTGTTAACATCATTTATATTTACAAAGAAAGGAGATGGAGTCAGAATATTATGTGTCTGTACTTGTATGTAATGATGAATTTTAAAGAGTCTAGTAACATAAAATATAAATGATGAAAATATTCATTCAGAGAAATGCTTCCATTTTGTTCATGTTTTAGACATTTGATAGTTGAATTTTTTTCATTTGTTGTTTTGAGAAGTTGATAATAAATTTTTTGAATGATCAGAGTTGTTATGCTGTTGTATTTGCTGCAAAAAATAAAATTGACATTATAAAAGCATATTTTCCCTATAGCTGGGAAATATTACAAATTCATGGATATTCGCAGGCTTAAATTTAATAAAACTAGTCATTAATTTAAATTTTTCAAAATCTCTACACAAATTTGATATTTGTCTATCCCATGATTTACAGATGCCAATGTTGCTGGACATCTCCTCTCCAATTCTTCCAAGCAAACTGGGTTCAACAAAGAAAGCCCTTCAAATATAGGCCGAGGGTTTTCCTCCAACTCATTTAATTCATGTTCTTGTAAATTGTCAACACTATCAGCAACATCATCCCCCACAGGGTTATTAAAGTTTCCAGCAGTCCAAAGACACCAGGGACTAGCTTTCACAGTACGTAATCTGTGAGTGGCCCATGCGTTTGACCACAGCTTTAATTTTTCGTTTATTTTTGGTAAATATATGTAATGAAGAGCAAGTAGATGAACTTCGTTCAAGGGATCTACAATTTCCTCCTCCTCCATGAAATAAAACAATCTGTAATAATAGCCAAGGACACCATTAAAAACATCTCTCCACAGTCTTTCTATGCGTTGATTGTGAACTCTTTTCCCCAGCAACATACTTGAAGATCCTCTCTTTTCGATCATAAAATCTGCTATTTTACTATTTTCCATTCCTTTGTCCGTACGTACACGCAATGGAATCCCAAAATCTTTTACTCCTTCCATGAAACATCTGAACACATTGTCCGCTTTATTATTGTCCTCACATTTTAAAAAAACTATCATTCTGCTAAATCCATCTATACCACCTGATACGATAAAATTCCACCTAACAAGTTTGTGATTTGAATCAATATGCCAGATATGATTCGGACCTTGTGACTGGTATGTCCTTCTTTGCAATCGTCCGGATTTCCTAGCCTTTATTCCATCTTTATCCATTTCATGCAAAATTAATCTCAACTTTGCTCTTTCTATCTGGAAAATAAATTTTTTTATTACTATTAGGCCAAAAGAAAATATACTCTTGTTTCCTGTCCCCTGACCAAAAAAATTAGGGTAGGTAGGTAGGGAAAAAAATTATTTTGAGAAAAATTTTATTTTGAAAACTCAATGGATGCAGAACATATATCATGTAATAACAAGAAAATGATATGTTAACAGTTTACAGAGCAAGTTTGGTAATGAAGATCTATAAAGTAAAGGTATCCTGTACACTTGTGATGTATTAGTTCTGTAAATATTGTTGGTAGACTTAAAAAATTTAAAAATAGTCACCCAAAAATGAAAATGTAATAAAAACTTTTAGGGTCAGAGGGTAAATGTAGGGTAGGTCGGATGACAGGAAACAAGAGTATTTTTTATTTTGGCCTTACATCCATATGTGTTTTTTATTTGCTTTTAATGGAATACTTGGCTAGCCATGATTTACATATTTTATTTTTTTTAAAAAACCTCCCCAACCCCACAAAGCACCCCTCTCTCTCTCTCTCTCTCTCTCTCTCTCTCTCTCTCTCTCTCTCTCTCTCTCTCTCACGCACACACACTCATAAACTTATACCTTTATGTTTTGTTGTCGCAGAACTTGTGCAAGCATTATTTCACCACAGGAGGGAAACTCTTCTATTACATCCATCACTATTTTTTTTAATTCTCTATCGTCAATATCAGTATAGATCCGCTTTTTCAAATTATATTCCTGCATTCGTCTATAAATTGTTTTCTCCGACACCGAAAGAAGGCTGGCAATATTTGAAATGGAAAAGCCATCGTCTATAAAACTTTGTAAAGTTTCTTTTGGAATGGTAAATTTTGATGCTCCACAACCAGATATCTAATTTAAAAAAGTATGAGAGAATCAATAGAAAGTTTATAGTTTATCAATATATATAAATAATATTAATTCATATTGATTAACTAAATTCATATTCAAATAAAAAACTCAGTTACTGTACAACTTTCGACATAAGTATTATATATATTTACCCCCCCCCCCCCACACACACACCCAAAAAATCCCTCTTTTATTAGGTGTGCCATTTATTTATAAGAATACATTTTGGAATAAAATTTGCACGAATTGCTAATCAAACTATGTGTCTATGAAATGATTAGGTGTTCTTATGCAAGAATGTATACTGTAGCTTACCTGACGAGTCGGTTGCTTTGTGCCGTAATTTATGCAGAAATTTCGAAGTTTTGTCATTTCGTGCGGATGTAATCCAAGTTGCAACATTTCATTGCGATTTAAGAAACAGACAATATCTGGTGTGATCTTTTCTTTTTTGAAGACATCTATAAATTGAACCATTTGAAGGTCCCGTAAAATATCTTCCATTTTCTAACAGAACGTGTTCCCAAATGAGCTGAAAGATCGTCATCGTAAAGAAGAAAGCACAGCATATAATACTGTGTCTACATCATAACAAAATGCAAAATCTACAGCACATAATGTTTAAAGTACCGGACATAATATTTAACGCTCATCATCATCACGATAAAAGAACTACTGTATATAATGATGAATATACTGTATATAATGTGAGAAGCAAATAATATATTGTTGTTTTCACCGAATATAAAGTTAAAAGCACATTATATAATGTTAAAAGCACTTCATATAATGTTAAAAGCACTTTATATAATGTTAAGAGCACTTCATATAATAATAAGTATACATAATATAATGACAGAACTACAGCATATAATGAAAGAAGTACAGCATGTAACGAAAGAAGTACGCGATATAATGTAAAAACTACTTCATATAATAAAAATAATACCGCATATAATGAAGGAAGCACTGCATATAATGTTTAATCTTCATATAAGACAGTCCCGGCGTTCCATACATTTACTTTACAGATATGATGTTGTAGGGATCTTTTTTAATGATTTAGGTAAGCTTATATATATAATGATGTAAGGTTAATAAACTTAATATACGAGGGCTGTCCGGTAAAATTGTGAACAAGTTGTCTAGCAGAAAAATATCACTGCGTTCTAAAATTTTCACTACTTTTTAGTACATTTTTCATAAATATACATAGCAAATTTCAAATAAATATATGCATGAATAAACAAATTATGGGATTTTATGTTCTGTACTGTTTCGCCTTTAACGGCGCACGGATGATAACGTCAAAGGGTCTAAAGCAGTGTTACATTTCCTGAACTGTCCTCTTTGCTAAAAAAAAGTTGGATAAGCCCCCCGTTAATTTTTGTATCTTCATTGATGCACATACTTGAGTTTTCCTTGATTTCTCCATAAACAGTCGAAGGACTAATCTTGTACACACATGGGACCTACTGAAGATTTATAAGTAAGTTATGGGCTATATTTTCATTATTCCACTAAATAGACAATCGTAAATCGACGGTCTACATTGACAACGTCTTTCGCTATCACCATTGCTTTTTTTCTCCGGTGCTCCGTAATTTTTCCAAAAGACGACGTAATAGATAGTGGATTAAAAATATAATCGTAAAACACCAATCTTTCCTATTTGATACTTTTATTTCGAAATGTATTTTCGTGTATTGTGTAATGGGACCCTGGTTTTTTTGGTTCGTGCGCCGTAGGACCGTATCCTGTGCACATTCATATGAAAATAAACTTAAATATGATATGTATAAACTTTACATAAAATTCTTATCATAGGGCTTAGTGTGCCCATTATTTTCCAAGAAAAACGCTTTGTCCACGATTTTACCGGATAATCCTCGTAGATTTGATATTTTGTAATAAAATTAATAAAGTACATGTAAACATTAATTTGCCTACCAGCTTCTTTTTGACAAGTTTCATACTATATTGTGCATGATTAAGTGCAAATATCAAATCATACTAATTTAGCAAATTCCTCAGGTTCTGAAAACCAGCCGTTGAATAATTGAAAATGCTCACTATAATATCTTTAGATTCTCAGAGTAATGTGCATTTACCCATGGTTATTCTTTAAAAATCGTTAAAGTTTATCATTTTATGTAGGGGATGTTAGCAAATCTCAAATAAATGTTAGGAAATGCAAATAAAAAGATCTACTTTGCTTTTTAGCTCACCTGAGCCAAAGGCTCAAGTTAGCTTTTTTGGTCACATTTTGTCCCTCGTCCATCTGTCTGTCTGTAAACTTTTCACATTTTCGACAAAGGAAAAACAAAAATAGGGTGGGGTCATTTCAAAAGAACGGGGGCACAATTTGGAAACCAACTTTAACATTAAAATGTAAAGGAATAATCTTTAAAAATCTTCTCAAGAATCACTGGACCAGAAAAGATGAAATTATATGGAAGCATCCTGGGGTAGTGTAGATTTTAATTGTTCAAATCATGACCCCGGGTTGTTGGGCAGGGCCACAATAGGGAATTATAGTTTTACATAGAATTGAAAAGGAAATTCTTTTAAAATCTTCTTCTCCAGAACCACTGGGCCAGAAAAGCCGAAACTTATGCGAAAGCATCCTAGGGTAGTGTAATTTTTAAATAATTATTGTCCAAATTATGACCCATGGGGTAGGGTGGGGTCACAATAAGTATCACAAGGGGGAATCTGGTAAAGAACAGCATGGTCAAAGCTACTCAGGTGAGCGAGGTGGCCAATGGGCCTCTTGTTTTCTGATGTTTAATAAATTCTGCTTCAAAAGTATACAATTGATTTTTTTATTCTGGTTGTAACACTGTATTTGATGGATAAAAAAATTTACTTTATATCGTATAAAATGGGTTGCCTACGTCACAATGACTTGGGCCAAAAACGTATCAATCCGCCTGACGTTACATCAAATTTTGTACCAATCGAAATCATTTTTTTTTAGAACAATCATCTTTTTTCTTACACTAATTGAATGGAAATTAAATTTTAAGGAATGAATTTAATTGATATCCATTATATACGCTATTAACTGGGTTGGAACAGTTTAAGCGTTTTTTTATAAACCGAAAGCGTTAACTGCCCCAACCCAGTTTATACCGTATGAAATGGGTAGCTATTAAATTCATTCCTTAAATAAAAATTATTCAGCTTAAATTCAAGTCATATTAGATTTAATTTTTAAAAGTTTTTTTTCTTAATTTATTGATGTTATTTAGAATCGCATAAGTGGTGAAAGTAATTTTAAAGTAATTCTTCGTTATATTGATCGTTAACATATTTATTTTGGTATTTTAGGTTTGTTCAACAGAGTTTTTAAGCACGATTGGTCTCTACAGTAACGGATTTTTAGCAGTCATGTCTCTGACGACAATCTTTGAGGTAATTTTAAGTTGTCTAGTGATTCAATTTGAATCAGCTTATTAACAACATTAATTATTGTAGACATTTATTTATTTCTTGATTTTGAACAATCTTCTTTTGGTCATTAATCGATATTTTTTTCTATATGTTACAGATCATTTGTATTGTCATAGAGCTTCGTGATACCATAAGATTAAGAAAAACAAAAGATTCTGGTATTTTGAGATATGTCAAGAATTTTCTTTTAGGGTAAGTTATTTCATTTAAAGAAAGGCTAAACGTTATTCAAAAGCTAGAACTTTGTTAACCAGTCATACACATACGACGTTCTCTCTGGGAAGTCAATGAAAAATGTCACTTTTATATGTAACAATTCTGTATGTTTTTTTATTTTTTAATTTGAACTGCTTAACTTTAAGTTTTATTTTTTTCCTAGATCTGAAGGTCATAAAAAGAAAATAACTACAGGGATAGTGGTATCCGTTGTTATCATTGTAAGCTTTTATCTTCACAATAATTAGTTATTCAACAATATCAGGATGCTGATCCTGTTTATTATTTTTATTTTATTTTTGAGTTTAAAAGATTATGACACTTCCAAACCTCTTGCGAGTTTATTAAATGTGAAATGCTACTTTATAAATTCTTTAAAAGACAACATTAAAGCATAAAAACCCTAAAATCTTTTTTCTCAAAATTTAGCTGGCCTCCATTGGATTTTTTGCTGAAAGCGCTTTTCTCCGCTATGACACCGTGTTCTCCCATAAACAGATTGACCTCATCTTCAGTAGCATCTCAATGATAAACACAACCTTCAGTAGGAATCTCCTCATTTGGAGATGGTTGATGATCACTACCGCAGTACTTCTTGTATCAGCTGGATTTTATACAATCATTTCAATTCAGCGAGGATCCAAATTCTTACATTTGATCGTATGTACTTTTTTGTGAAATCTGATAAAAGTCATGTCTCAAAATGTCCATTCCTTTATAATCGAATTGTTCTTTGTATGTAAATTTTACATTACAGGCGATTGTTTTTCACAGTTTCTGTTTGTCTACCATAATAGCTGTGACTGGATGGTGGATTGCAGTCCATAAAACTGTAGGGGGAAAATGCTTATTCATTATTTTTATGCAGATTATTCACTAAAAGCGTAAAAATAAACGTGTGTTTCAGCTGAAAATATTGTAAATGCGTAATGCATGTGTAATAAAATAGAATACAGTGTATATTTTTAAACTGATAATTAATGTAATGCCAATCTTTTAAATGCTCTTCAATTCCATTGTAGGGACTTCCGGATTATGTTGCAGATCCCGTTTTTCCAACATTTTTTAATTCGTACTTGATATCTGCCTATAGTTGGTCGATTGAAAGTGCTTGGAATAATCTGTTCAATACTGTAAGTGTTATGGTGCCATGTTGTTGATCTCTTGTTCTGTTCTTTCGTCTGACAAGAGTGTCTGATTTCACTTCATGTATACCGCTGAACCAGTTTTAATCAATTTTGTAACATAAATGTTAAAAGAATTAGAATGATAAAACTTGTTAATTTTATGATTGTATGATTAAATACATATGATTATATGTTTCTCCGAGGGCTAGATGGGCTACTTCCATAAACAGTAATTATATTTTAAAAATCTTCTTCTTTACTCCTCTACATCAAATAGTCAAAATAGACACGCTCGTCCGTGATAAAAATCCATCGTACCTCGGCCGCGAATGACCTAGTCGATGAAATGGGTAGCATTTGTTCCTTCGCCATGCTCTCGGGGACTTTGAAGTGAAAGTTGAAATATCCTTCAGATGAGACCTTCAAAACCGAGGCCCCGTGTCAGCGGCAGGCGTTGGCACGATAAAAATCCCTCACTGCTCAATGGCCCTGAGTGCCGAGTAAAAGTCAAAATTTGAAGCCACTCATCGGCAAACAGTGACGTCTCCATATGAGTGAAAAATTCTCGAGAGGACGTTAAACAATATAGGATCAATCAATCAATCAAACAGTCAGACTGTCGAGATGATTATGATAAGCATTGAGCAAATTACCAAAACCGTGAATTTCATGAACATATATCAGCTTTATGGTGTAAACATGGAAATCTATTGATCAAAAAATGCATTTAATTATTTGAAAACCATATATGTACCTTAATATAAAGCAGACAAAGTATATTGTAATTATAAGCAAGGTTGTACCTTCAGAAATTTTAAAATTCATGACCTTTAGTTCATTATGTAGAAGAAAACATATGGAATATCTTTGGGCATCGCTTGGGCTGAAAGCTAATAAAAAATCAAAGTGTGACAAAAAGTATTTCACGCTTATCTCTGCTGAATATTTCTGAATTTTGAAAAATTGTAACCACTTGGTCTGACCCATTTAAATATCCGTAGCTTCTTGTCATCAAGTTTCCGTTCGTCAACATAGAATTTGACCTCTATATGGCCAAAACGATTCTTAAAAAATGTTGTTAACAGAAAAGCATCAGTTGGCTAGTTACTTAGTTTTATACATATTTATAGAATATATCTATTAATTTATTTGGCTTTATCATATAATTTAACATCAAATTGTTAAGTTATGGATTGTTTAAAGAGTTGTGTTATAAAGTAAACGTTAACTCTTGTCTTTCAAATATATGGTTTGTGATAATGAATTTAAATTGTTTTCACAAAATTAATGCATGCATCGAGTAAATATCACTGATACATTTTGAAAGATGTAATTGCAGCTTCAGTGTTGTGGATACAGAACCGGGTCAGAAATTGATTTCTATTATACCAACAAGCAAGATGGACTTTCTGGTTATAGCCAAATGTCCCTTTTCTGCTGCCATGCGAACCCACTTACAACAACATATAACTACCATAGTAGTTGTTACCCATCACAATATAGAGAGGCGAGTGAAATTAAAAAAAAAAATTAAATATATCAAAGTAATATTCTTATTATAAGTAAATAGAATGTATGTGAATATTTGAATTCTATAAGATTATCTTTTACAGCCATGCTATGATAAGCTCTCGGACAGACTTCTTCGATACAACATCGGATTTTACATCATGATGTCAATGTGTCTAATAATGGAGGTAATTATATATTCCTTTCTCATGTTTTTTTTTTACTGAAACCTGTGTTTAATTAAAGTTATTTATTACAGATAGTCCTGATCATTATACTGGGGATCTTGATTAAGAATGATGAACCCTTTAGAGCTGACAAAGTATTGATAAAAATAAAAAGTTATTTTTCAAAAAGGTAGGCTATTTTGATTTTTTTCGTTTATCTTGGTTTCGGTTTATATTATGAATTCAATCATGTTTTTGATTTACATAGTTTTAAAAACAAAATATTTTGAAGAAAAATGTTTCTCTGTTAAATTGAGATTTCGTTATAATATTAGCCAAAGGAAGAAAAGTAAACGGAAAGATACAAAGAACAGCTTTTACAAGCGGAATGAAAGCGAAAATGACACACTGACTGATGAAAATTCTCCAAAGTCACAAAAAAGGAAGGTTAAGATTGGGGAAAACAAGGTAGAACCTTTGTCCCCCGATCTGGAGAATATAAGAAATGTTTCAAATGATGCCACAAATAAAGCTCCAAAAAATGCAGCACCATCGTCTTTTGAATCTGGAAATCAGAACGATGGCTCAAGTAATATCATCCAAAGTCCTGTCAGTTCTACAGATGACAACGACACTCTAACTCTAACAAAAAAGGAATCATCACACGTCGGTAAATTACCGACACAGACAGACGGGGAAGAGGACCGGGACATTAAAGCAGGAGAAACTTTACAGGATACGTCAGATTTAGATGATTGAAAAATGGATGAAGACAATCTGGAACTCAGTAGACAGAATACAAATGAATCATTAAACTATAGTTGATTAAAATAATATTTGACATGCTGCCTCGGATATGCTTACACTGAAATATTCTTAAACTAACTTACTTTTATATAGAAAAGTTATTTTGGATTTTGATGATGAAATCATGTTTTGTCTTAAGACAAAGCCAGTATTTTGTCCTGTAGTTGTAAATTGTACACACTTCTTATTTAACCAATAAATGTTTTTTTTTAATTTCCTTGCTTTACAAATGTAAAAAAAAAATCATTGACTTTATTTTTGTATTTTGAGTTTGCATTTGTATTTAAGGAAATTAAAATATATTTTTTAAATGTTACTGACAAATAAATAAATTAATATACATATAGTATTTCTTTCTTCTTTTTTTTCGTTTCACAAACGGGGGACAAAGGATTCCCCTGAGACTGTTTATCTGTCTGACAGTGTCAGAACTTCTGTCTGTCAGTCTGTACATCTTGATTTTACGCATTTTTTTTAAACGCTTGTAGATATTGAGCTGATTGTTGGAATGCATCATGATAATTTACAGACAAGTTTGATTTTGCTCCGCTTGAACAGTTCTCAGGGAAAACGGCCTTTTTAATTTTTCATTGATTTCTGCACCATTTTCCCCAATTCTTTACAGATATTGAGCTGATTTTAATATGTGGCTGTATCCTGAAGAGTTGCAGGAAAAGATTAAATTTTGTTCCACTTCAATGATTTTTTTTAGTAAAAAGTATTTCTAATGCCATATCGAATACTTGTTTGTAATAGAAGAAGGTGCCCCCGATGGAAACAGTATTTATAATTTTATCATGTCAAGGAAACAAGAATGACCTTGACTTGGCCTTGTGCCTAAAATAAAAAAGTCACTTATTGATATTGTTGTCTTCAAACTGTCGGAATTTCATTAACTTTTTAAATACAATAACCTTTAGAAAAAGGTTTTTGAATTTCTAGCGGAACGAAATGCAAATTTGACCAAGATACACTCACAACTCGATATCTGCAAGCGTTTAGAAAAAAAATTGTGAAAAACCAATAAATTAAGTCGAAAAGACTTACAGACAAACAGAGGGACAACTAGACAGATAGACGGACAGACTCAGAGAAAACCTATAGTCCCCTCCGGTTTCATTCATTTGTTGTGTGAATGGTTCTGTAAATTCTTGAAATGTCAAATATTAACAAGTTTTGCAACTTCAAATTTTCTTAGAGTTCATTTGAGTATTAAAGTATTAATATTTACACCAGTTTTCGAACATATTGTTGTACAGTACTCCAGAAGTTTGTGAATGAGCCTTACAACAAATGCAATGATAGGACCAAGACATATTTCACAATTATAAAGATGTGACGTCACAACCTACGACAATGCTTTAAGAAATAGAAGGGGCACGGATAATGTAATAAACCAAATAAAAATATGATTTGCTGTTGTTGATGGAATTTATATCACTTGTGAGACGGTTATATTTTGTGCTTTGCACTAAAGAATGCAGAACCATTCAGGATACTTTTACGTTCAAAACTACATTTAGCATTTTGTTGCCTCTGATATGTAAAGCAAAAGTACAGTATTTTCATTTTTTTTTAGAATATCGTTCAATTGCATGTAATCAAAGTTACATAGGGTTAAGACAAATATCTAAGTTTTTTTTTTTGCTGTTACTGTTTTGTATAGTACTGTGAATTCATTAAAATTCGTGGGGGGCTTAAAGGTTTGTAATATCGTTTATTCACTTAAACATACATTAGGAAATACATATGTTTATGTTATCCCTCATTTATTAATTCTTGGAAGAGAGGAATTAACGAAACACACAAAAACTGAATCACAGCGAAACTAATTATTCTACATTAACTGTTGTGAGAAATTAAAAAAGCATTTTATATCAGGATATACTATGATTAAGCTTCATTAATTAAAACATTAAAAAAACGAAACTTGATATTCTCATCACATTATATTTTTCAAAAAATGGAATAAAGGAATTTTTTTTTTTAAATATCTCGGCCATATTTAGTCTAAGCCCCTTATTAGGACTAGCTATTATTACAGCTTGCACATATTCATGATCAGTGCCTTATTAGGTGTAGTATGTACACAAAGGAAAGAAATACTAACAGCATGGCTAAGTTTATAACTGGGCCAGGGCGTGCAAAAATTTGATCTATCGGTGATCCGATCTTCTGTCACCGTAAAAAAGCTCCAAAAAACAATACGCTGTGTTAGGCATGTTCATCTTAAAATGATAACTGAGTAAAGAAAAGACTGGGTACCGGTATTTAAAACCACTATGTAAAAGCTTCATGAATAGCCGACGAAGAAAAAAGGCACTGCTACTTCTGTAGATTGTCCAGTTTGGTAAGTTGGTCCTTTTTCCTTGTTTGTTTCTGTGTTTTAAAATTTGATAAATGTTTAGTTTTTCTTTCATAACAATAAAGAAAGCAGAGACAAAAAATCCTAAGAAATTGGATTGTATTCCTAAATTTTATTTATACATTTTGTCAAGAATTTGAATATATGATTTTTTAAATATTTTGACTATGTTATTTAGCAGTATTTTATACAAATCTAATTAGATTTTAGAATTGACAGAGATAAAAAAAAAAATGTATATTTTATTCTTCTTGGGGTTCTAGACCTATCATCACAATTTGAACGAGACTTCCTTTTACCAAAAATCTTAATCTTGAAGAATTTCGATAAGTTTAACACTTACATTTCACAAAGATTTAACATCATAATAATTTCAAGAAAGAGCATGTAGAGAATCCGGGTCAACCTCATAAAAAGACTGCTATTTTCTGATACTTTTGCAAATATGCATCGTTCTGTCATCAAAGATCCCCCGCCCCCATTTCATATTTTGAAATTTCTATAAAACGAATGCGTTTAAGTCTGTTAATAAATATGATGTGGAAGGACTGACATGCTCAGAGACCGACAAAGAAACTGGTCCATCAACACATAATTACTTCCTGGTAAATTTGTTGCAGTGATCTCCGGTTCTTCTGATTATTCATGAACGATTGTTTTTAAATCCGATGGTATGTTTTTAAACTTCCAACGTAATAAATATCTGTATTTGATCTATTTTCCTCTAAAGAATCTTTTTTTATTTGTAGGGTTTAGATTAAGAGATATCAAATAGATCTTAATATGTATAATAACAAATTGCTCTGTATAATTTAAATACTATGGGTATCTCGGATATCAATTTCGTGCTGAACCTCATTTGTTATCATACCTATCTTTCAGTTAATTAGTCTTAAATATATATACCGATACGGAATAACAAAGTACATACGTATTTCAAAACAATGTTAAAGTTGACTAACGTATTTTTAATGAAAAGTTCTTTTAATATGCACTTTTCCTCATTTGTAGATGCTAAAACCTTTTAAATGAGCATTGATTTTCAACTATTGAAGTTGCAATGAAATCAACAATAGGGTGAGTAGTTTATGTTTTCTTAAGCAATAAAATGAAAGAAATGAATCCCCTGAGGGCATTAAAGATTTTCCCCGTTTTTCATTCAATGATGCTGTGATTCCACACATTTTTTCTCATTCTGTTTTTCACCGTTAAAAGTTTTTTTTTGAAATAAATTCACTATATTTACGAAATAAGATGTGAAATTACAACTACATGTATTTATGACATGAAAATACTGAATTGATTAATGACATAAATAAATAATAGGTAGTAAAAGATTTTTAATTTTAAATTTGTAATATATATTAATATTACTCTCCTTTTCTCATTAAGCTATCGTATTTTGGTTTCATTCACCAGGTTTTCTTTAATTTATTTAAATCTGCTGATTTTTTTTTTTAATGAAAATAATTGGGTTTTAAAAAACTTATTTTTTTTCTACTTACAGAACACGCATACTGGACGTTTTTACATATGCTCCAGGATCGTATAGAAAGAATGCATATGCTCTGCCTGTCAATATAATCATAATGTGCATGATTTTAGTCAGAGTAAGATGTCGGATATTTAAAGGTTTTTCTAAACTGCATTTGTAAAAAAAAATCTGAACCTATTATTCCACAGAATAAATTGAAACTAAATGCTGAAAAATTCATAACGTTTTATTTATTTATTTATTTATTTATTTTTGTCGTAAAACACCAATAATCAATCAATCATTCATTTTTGTTTTGATAGTATATTTTATTATATAATTGAATAATTTCCATCTCTCTGATTGGAGATCCAACTATGTTAGAAAAATACTACGTTGTATTGACCTGCACGTGATGTTCCAGGTCAATACAAGGATTTATTTCCTTTACATTGATCTAAAAATAGATTGGGAAGTTCCAAATTGATACAAATTGGTTTGGAAAGCTATTTAAACAACTATGATTTTTTTTTTTTCATGTGAACAAAACATATGCGAATTTATGATTATAATTTAGGGTGAGGGTGGTAAGAGGGGATGCAGGGACCCCCCTTCAACACTTTTACTGAATAACATTTTTTTTTTACTTTTTGGCAGTCCGTTTTCCCTGCTAATACTCCTTCCTTTCAAAATCTATCCTATAAAAAAGACTGACATTATATATTTTTCATGGCAACTAAAATTGATAAAAAAAAAAAAAAAACCATTTCAAATTGATACAACTGGGAAGGTTTTTCACATTTTAATTCTGCTTCTCTCTTGTATTTGGCTAGCACTTAATAAAATGCAAACAAGTAATGAGCTCAGCTGTATCATTTTATCAGTGAATCATAAAAAAAACAATTATTGCTGTTTTTTGAGGTCAATACAATGATTTAGTCATCTCGGGCTCGGTGAATATTGTACTCCTCAGATGGCTAAATCATTGTATTGACCTCAAAAAACAGCAATAATTGTATAATATAGTGTATATCCGTTGGCTACTTTGTTATGGGACTGGTCTGGAAGCTCCATACGGGACTAATACAACACAGCTGGATTGCCATCCTTGATCGACTGTGGGTCGGAAACCTTAGACTCGGCATGACAGTCAATGCTCTGGTGTTGACCTCCGTGTCTCTATTTCCAGTATACGTCATTTCCTGTGGCTTGGGGATGTTGGGAATATTCTGTAGAAAAAGGATATTTCTAATCTTGGTATGAATCATTACATTAAATTACATGTAGTTTTTCATGACCTTTGAAGCATAAGTGCCCTTTTTAACATTTTCTCTGTGTTGGAAGTCTTGAGGTAATCGGTAATCAAAATAAAATTTGTATTCCCACAGAATCAATATACCTTGATATTCTATATATTTTTGTTGTTGAACAAATTAAAGATGTCAAACCATTTTATTTTCCTTTTAACAGTATATGCTGTCCTTGCTGTTTTTCCTTGTTGCAGACATCATATACATCTCCCTATTTAGTATACTGCTTGAAGGAGTGAGTGTCTATTTATGCAAGACAATATTGGGATTTTTGAAATGAAAGCCATGTTTATAATATTAAAATATTTTGTTAGATGAAGTCATCTTCACTTGCTGCAGATTTCCAGTCAATTTTCTATGAGCGTATTAACTATCCAGATTCTGTAAAAGAGGCCATAGGAGATTGGATGGAAATGTTTTCAATGGTACTTACACAATTACAATTCTGTACTCTATTTAACCAAATATAAAGTTCAAACTTACATAAAAGATAGGTGACAGTAAGCATTAGAATTTAATAGAAATATGAAAATGAAGAGAAAAGTTTTAGAATCTATCTTTTTAGAATGAACTTAAACAATCAACCCATTAAAGCTTTATTTTTTCTGCATATTATAAAATAAATATAATCCGTTTTTTCTGCTTGCAATAAGGAGTAAAGTTTTATTTAAAAGGTGTACAATTCTTGATCAAAAAGTATGATATTGATTCAACAAAAATATGGTACTTTTTCTCTCTATGTTTCTTTTTTATTTGTTTTATTAAAATGTGAATTATACATGACTACGTGCATGTTTATTTCTATTTCGGATTAGATGGGATGTTGTGGTATTACAAGTAACCTGGGAAGTCCATGGTGCTCGGGTTACGATTCGGTGAGTTGAACTATTATAGAAATGTAAAAATAATCTTTCTTTTACGTTATCTGACAATCACTCTGAGTAAAGTGTATTTCATTTTTTAAATATAGACTTTTGACTACATGCAGTATTTCTCAAAAGTAATTCTATAACATATGGTTTAAATTTATCAAGACGTGCTGGGAGAAGTTCTCTGCGAGGATAATCTCATATTGTTCCTCGTATCTAAGTCTTGCTGTACTTTGCCTTTTGTTAGAGGTATGTAAAACGCAGTATGAAATATAGTATATTTTTTGTTTCAATATGATTTTCAAAACGTTAACAAGACTTTCCAAAATAAATTATACATACAGTTTTATTTAAAAATGAGAATTGATTATAAAAACTCTTATTTTTGTGTAAAATAGAATGTAATTGATACCTAATATTAACAAATGAGGCTCAATCTTGCAGCTGATCCAGCTTGGTTTCTGTGACATAATCTACAGTAATCTCTCTGGAGAGAATCTACCATTTGCTCTGGCAAGAACCTGCTTATCAATGATAAAAACAGCTTGGCAAAGGTAAAAACACATAATATAACACTGAATATTAATCGTGCTTGAAGCAGATTCTAGTGACTATTGAAAACACCGGATATTTACTTTCGACAGGTTGATTTTATAAATGTATCTACACAAATTCTAAGACGACTTTGTATTGAGTCCGTGGTGCAGTGGTAATAAATTTGAAAATGCTAGATGCAGTTGAGACCCAATTCAATAAAACTTGGAAAACTATAACATTTTTGAAAATAAATTATTTTGTGCTAACAAGAGTTAATTATTTTTAAAAAATAATAAAATCGATTTTTCAGGTCATGGTCATGTGTCATTGCTAATATCTGGAGATTGCTTTCTTGTGTAAGTAGCCTTAAAATGCCTTCTTCTGTAGGAATTATTAAAATTTAAAATAATAAGATCACTGTTGTACAGTTTTCTTTTGAAGTTTTTGCGTAAAAAAATGAATATTTTGTTTTCTCGAACATACCTCTTTTTCTATCCCATGTTTTTCTTGTTGTATGAAAATGAAAGTATGTTGTGTGCTAGCAAAATTAGTTCTGTGATATCTTCATCTCTGTAATTCAGACACCATCATCACAACTTAAGGTGTCCTGGGTATATTTGTGGTCGTGGGACCATGTGTGAACCCAGGACCCCTGACTTTTGTGTTGATGATTAATCGCTTGTCCTGGCGTCTACACACGATGTTTTCAAATTTTCACATGATTTCATTAGTTCCCACTTTTTCTACATAAAATATTTTATTTACTTTTTCGTTATTTATACATAGCTTCCTGCAATTGGACTCGTGTCTTTGGGTGCAGTGTTGCTCAACGATAGCCAGATGAGAGGATCCTTCGTGGATCCTATTTATGTACATATCTACATCCTGGGACTTAACTTTGTGGACATCATCAGGGCTCTTGGGGTTCTAATGATCACCCTTGGAGTTTTGGAGTTCATTGTAAATATGTTGGCGGTCATTGGGGACTGTGTAGTACAAAACAAGACCAAGAGTGGGATGGTAATGTATTTCATTATCTGATTTTGCTTACTGAATAAATATATATTGTTACTACAATTTAGGCAGGTGTTAAGTTAAACATGGTTTTAGTTGGCCAAGTTAGTTGTTTTACCATTTACTACTATCGAAAAACTACTGAATACTTCCAATCCTACATTTTATAGATTAATAACGTCTTAGCTCGAGTAGTTAATCATACTCGTCTAAAGAAGTAATGTATCGAAGATCTAAGATCTTTGATTATTTCAAACAATTTGTTTTTATAAATCTGAATGAATGATGATATATAACAAACATTTTATAATGAAACACCTCTTTCCGTTTTCAAGGTGATCGTTATAACAGGTTTGTTGCTGTCCGTGAAGATTGTCTGGCTTGGATTGTGTATAAAGTTGGTCGTTCAGGTACTTCATGATGCATGGAAAAGAATTTGCAAACTTAAACAATCTTGAAGACGAGGAGTTAAGGGAACAGGCCCCACTTTTTAATGAATATTTCCATTTTTTCTCTTTTCCCCTTCTTCAAAAATAAGTTCAAGTTTGTTTAATCTAATTTTTTCCACTCTGACTAATAACTTGATAATCATTGGTTTTTAGCTGTAAAATAAATGTTGTATTATGCATGAGTGATGAGTGATAAAGTTGCAGCGTGTCTTAACATTTTTGCTTATCTCAATCGTTTGTTTTTTAGAAACATCCATTTTTTAATTTATTGATACGAATTATACATGCCCATAGACTTGGGAAGGGGGTTTATGTTTAGCATTTAATTTACTGTCAAAGTAGCATAATAATACATGCATTTTTCTAACTGAAACATTTTTTGTAAATGCAGATGAACGGCGATCTTCGAATTCAACTGGCCAATTTGCTGCGAAGTTTTTCATATATCAGAGAACAATGGTCGTATTTATTTGGGGAAGTAAGTACAGTAATCTTCGATTTTGATTGAAGAAAAGAGACCAATTGACCAATACTCTTACATGTACGTTTTTTGGGAGACATAGTGAGTTTGGATTAAAATTTCATTAAAACGCTCAAAGGCATCCCAAAATATCTCGCGGAACGAAAGTGTTACAAACAAACACGGACAGCTAAACGCACGAACAGATAGACAGAAATTTCACTTTCAGCGAAAACGGGGAATAACAAAGGTCTAACAATTGGTATGCAATAGAAACATACGACCCAATGTCAGGTAACAATGCTGACATGGTCATTATTAAGACCACTAAATTTACAAAAATGTCGGAACTTTTAATGAGTTGTTGAAATCCGTATACATGTATATAAACTTATGTGTAATACTCGGAGCATTCTCTTGTGTATTGAATAAGTTATGAATAGGCTGGGAGATGCAAGAACGATTTGCAGGTGATAGCGGAATATTACTACCTTATTTATGGACTAAAACAGAGAAAATGATGATTGAAATTCTAGACATCTCATTTGGTAAACATTTTAGTATATATTTGATCCTTAACGTCTGTGCACGTGGTCAGTAAAACACCCAAACATGAACCAGACATGGCATACTCTATGGTGCCTTTTTATTTCAAGATTAATGAGATACGAGGGTTGTTCGAAAAGTTTGTGGACTTTTGTCATTTCTTTTTAATTTGACGTCATATGTTATCGAACTATGGTAGAAATATTTTAACAATAAATCCAGATGATTTGTATTAAGTTTTTATTAAATTATCACGATTCATTCAACACTTATCCAGATTTTAAAAATGCAAAAATCAGATCTCGGAGCAGGTAAAAATTTAGTTAGTTACAAACAATAAAGAATTGTTACATCGATTCGTATTCCATATTTATATAATAGTGTTGTGTTTTGCGTGCACTATGCCTAAATAGTAGTCAGGGTTTGACACATGGTGCGCAAGTCAGAGGCATGTGCACTATGTGTCAAACCCTGACTGCTATTTAGGCATAGTGCACGCAAAACACAACACTATTGTTATTATTATGCTGACTTTGTTACTGTATAAATACGGCAATATTTTCTTCATTCCCAATGTTTCATCACATGTTACATTCGTCTACTCTATTATGACGTCACCTTATGCAACATGTACGTCATAATCTTTTTCTTTAATTTTGAACGTTCCATGCTTTAGGTATAATCTACAGATAGTTTTAGAGAATATTATTTGAGTGAAGGAAGGGGGGTTGCAAGAAACTATTTTAGAAGAATTATTTTGTTTATTTTTAATTTTAATTATAAAATATTTGAAACTAAGTTTATATATATTATAGTACAATATGATAGATAACGGCGTCTGTGGCGTAATCGGTAGCGCGTCGGACTTACAATCTCGGGGTCGTGAGTTCGCTCCCCGGTATGGGCGTTGTCGGATTTTCCTCATTATTGGAAGCCGTGCTCTATTTCGGCATAGTATGCTTACGCTATATAAATCCTTAGACCACTATGCGAGAATAGTAGGGTATGGGTTATATATAGAGACAAACTGACAGGAAGCATAATAATATGGCTTAATAATTTAATTTTGCTTGTATTCTTGCCTCTCATTGGTTGATTTCCAAAAAGGAACGCATAACATTTTATATAATCTGGTTTGGTATGGGGACACACCCCCTTGACAACCAGCATAATCATCTGTATCCATCAATCCCCTCATTTCCAGTCCTTGGGATTTATGGGAAATTCCAGATTTAATGAATTTACCTTTAATTTCAAACAGTTACTCGATCTTACCTCATGTAAACAAGCATCATGGCTGCTAGATCTATGTATCCGTTTTTACCTCCCCTTGCTTCCCATCACTTCCGTTTCTACGGTTGTATCTTTGAGCGGCAAATTAGAACTCATAAAAACAACACAATTTTACACCCCCAGTTGAATAATTATTTTAAAATTAAATTATAAGGAATGACTCTAATTCTTGGCCAAATTATCGAGTATAATATGGTTTGGGTCAGTTTACGCTTTTTTATAATCCGCTTCGCGGATTATAAAGCGTAAACTGACCCAAACCATATTATACTCGATAATTTGGCCAAGAATTAGAGTCATTCCTTAAATATTTTGCTTTGTTGGAAAGAAATCAACTTGAGAAGGTAGGTAGTCCTCTTTGGAAACGACAAAAATTATGACGTTCTATAACGTCACAGAGCAGCAGAAAACGATGCAGTTTTGTTTTTTACTCAGGAAAAATCCTTAATAAACTCTAAAAATGTTGGAGGAATCACGAAAATTTGTCACAAGTGAGTCATGCATGTCTGTAAAAATAGTACAGACAGTATTTGAGTGACAGAGATTCTGTATCATATGAGGAATATTGGTGAAGGAATAGGTTAACTGTAAATATCTGAATAAAAACTTTAAAACGTTGGAACGTCAAGGAAAGGCATGGGCGCCTCAGGGTTGCTTATCCTATGAAAGCAGAGTTAAGTTATAAAAGAAATTAAACCAATATTGAAATATTGAATTGAAACTCGCCTCAATTTTTTGAATAAATATTGCTTCGTAGGAATTTTAAAAGTTTCGTCTACGAAATCAAAAAGCCTAGATTTTATTTTATCGTGAGGAACAGTGTATACATGTATATGAAGTGTAGATTTTCCTAAACACTGTATTTAAATATACCTATATAAAACTTCCATTCCTATTGTGTCCTTATTGTAGAACAAGAACCATGATTTGTCAACACATTTCTACACTTTATGGAAATGCTTGTGTTGCAGGGATGGTTTATATATAGGATGTAATAACAACCAAACTCCTGTCTAAGGGTTCATATATGTTTAATATTGATGTTCATCAAGTAAATGAATGAATGGCCCTATAAAATAAAACAATAACAATAAATATCACATGAGATAATAACGAATGTATACATTCTA